CGCATACGGGTCGTTTCCAGCCGCGCGAGATCGTGTTGAGATTGCAGGACAGCGACGCACGTAGCGATTCGAGGATCTGACGATTCCGAGCGGTAGCGGTAGTGCGCTGCGGTTGGCACCGCAGCGCACGACCACAACGACCACACAAACGGTCTCGACCGGAATCTTGCACATTCGGCCACCATTGTCTGTGGAGCTCGGCAGTTAGACCATGGTGATTGTGATTATTAACGTCGTCTGTTACGGTGCGCGGGCCCATGTGCGCTGTTGTCACCATGGGGGTCGTGGGACCTTGAGCGCTGTTATCAACGCCGAGGCAGCCCAGGCACACCCAAGCCAGCACGCGAGACGTGCAGGGCATCTGGAGTACGCACTGGCTGGCGAGACTTAACAACGCCCCTTGCAGTGATGATGCCAGGCAGGCAGTCGATATTCAGGGCGCTCCAGAAGGGGGCTCTGTGCACTCGAGGGTTCGAGAGGCTGACATCTCCTCTGCCGCGGAGTGCGGCGGTGGCGGAACAAGGGCGGCTCCTGCCGGCGGAAGCCGGCGGACGAAGGGATGTGATGTGCGTGAGGGGTCCAGGATGTTTCGGAGCGGTCCATGTGCGCGGTTGCGATCCAGGCTGTACGATTCAGACGATCCGTTTCTGCGTCCCCGCCGACGGCCACGGCACGCGAAGCCAGAAGCCGGAAAAATTCGTTTCCCTGCGGACTTCCGAGAAATAGTGAAGACATAGTTCTCTGCTCCTCTAGTCGTGGGACAAGCTCGTGCGGCTCTCGCAGGGAAGAGCCGCGTGCCGTGAGAGTGGACTTTGCGCATGAAGGCGTCGCACCCGAGAGGTGTGGCCCGAAGCCGGAGTCTCAGCGGTGAGGATATGTTGCTTCGCGTGTCGCTCTGCCGGTCCTGGCTGACGCTCTGGCGCGGCACGCTCACCTCGTCCCAGCCCCCAGGCGTCCACGTCCGAAGTTTCTGGCAGCCTCCCACCCCGCAGAGCAGAGCGACATGCTATCCACGCGCAGAGCACAGCGTGTCGCGGGGGCCGCCGCCGCGACACGCCGAGCAGAAGTTCCCGACCGTAGAGCCGTGTATATATAGATATCTGTATATATGTATATATATATATATATATATATATGTGTGTGTGGTGTTGTCGGGATCCTCTGCCCTTGCAGCGGCATTGTGAGTGCAGCCCGTTGGCGTGCGGGGGGATGGCGTGCTCGGCCCGCAGGATCCAGGCGCGTTTCTGCCTCTTGAGGCACCGCGCATGACGTCCTCGGTTTCAGAGGGACGCGGCGCTCCACTGCGTAGGCTGAGCGGCTGGCACCAGAAGCAAAGCACGGGGCGAGCGATTGGGCCAAACGGCTGGAAGCGGCATCACTGGTGTCGCGCGACGTCTTTGCACGGATGTCGCACATCGTCGGTATCGTACCCACGTTGTGCCCACATAAAGCCATACAGTCGGGGCGTTGACCTAAGGAACCCTAAATAAGGAACGAGGCCCCTTTTTCCCATAAGTTAAACTTCGATTTCCGATCTAAAACATAAGGAAAACCTGAGGCAAGCTGTGAAACACTTAAGGAACGCGGAGCCCCTCCCCAACCAAAAGGGTTTCTTCTTCAGGGCCCCGACTGTAGACGACGACGACGACGACGGCGAAGACGACGACGACGACGACGACGATCGCCCGAGGCTGGGCACGCTGGCCGCCGCGATAGTGTGCCACGAGGGCGGCCACTACCTGTGCGCCACCTCCGTGGGCCTGCCCGCGGTGGAATTCTCCCTCGGGTTCCCCCCGAGACGTCCGTGGGGGGGGGCCTGCCAGCAATCCCCCCGGAGGTTCGTGCCGAGCCCTTCCTTGACCCAGGATCGGTGCGTATGCCTTTCTGGCCAAGGCAGGAGGGCGTATGCACCGACCCTAGGCTCAGGATGGGCCGGGCCAGAATCGGTGTATGTGCATAGTTCTTCTTCCTCTAACAGTGCCAAGCCAGCGTGCCCAGGGTGTCGATGCCCGCAGCGTGCGAGCAGCCGGAAAAAAACGCGTCGGGCATCGTGCCGAGTCCTTGTTGCCATGTGCCCGGAGGATTGCCCTGCTGGCGTTCCAAACGGGCTGCCAGAATTCGAGGCCCCAGGGCCAGCTGCAGGTTTTCACAAGCCTCTCGACCCATGCGCGAAAGTCTTGCAGCAGCACGGCGGTTGAGCATTGGGGGGCGGTTACGTCCTAAGCAGGCGGGGTCCCCTCTCATGTGCATCGTACTGGCTTTTCCGAATTCGTTCTTTGTCGTGCTTCCGAGTCATCCTCTCAGCAGTGCCGCAGCAGGAAGAGGATCGAGGATCGAATGTTTCGGGCGTTCCCGTTAGCCCATGGAGGTGTTCCAGCCTCGGGATGCTTTGCAGCAGCTGCGCCTCGCCGAGAGCCCGTCAGGAGTGCCCTGATCCTTCTAAATGGCTGTTCGAGTGCCAAGTGATGACCCGAAAACCAGGTGGACGAGGAGAAAGAGGACCAAAGTAAACCCAAGATGCATCAACGATGTTGCAATACACCCATTCGTCCCAAATCCCCTTTTCATAAGGCCCTGCAAGCCTTCCATGTCACTACAAGATGACAAGCATTCTGTGGTTTTGCCATTGAGGCGACAGGCCCGTTTTTAAAATGCACCGGTTCCCATCTTTCTAGCGAGTGAGAAGGAACACGGAAAGGTATGTTAGCCAGCGTGGACCCCTCACCGTGTGTGTTCTAGTAATCTAGATGGAGCAATAGATGTGGTGCAGCATATGCGGTACAATTTCTGTTGTGGAGCCTGTATATATATATATATATATATATGTATGTGTGTAGGTATACGTGTGTATGTGGTGCATCGTATGTTGTGCAATATATGTTGTGCGGTCCACGTCGTGCAGTAGTACGGGGTGCACTATATGATGTGCAACCTACGTTGTGCAGTACATGTCGTGCAACCTATGTCGTGCAATTCACCCTGCCGATTCTGAGGTTGTTAGCTCCAATGCTCGCACAAACATCCCACCCATCCACCCGCAAATTGGTTTGGTTAGCCATGCGGCGGCGACTGCGATGGCTGCTCGCCGTTGGCTGCCGCATCCTTGCGGCCGCGCCAGCGCGCGCAGGCTCGCGCGCAGAGCGGCCAGTTAGTCTGGCTCTTGCGGCCGCGGTGGCGCTGCCCGCTGGGGCCGACCCAGCGCGTGTCGCAGGCCGCGCTGACGCGCGGGCGGTTTTGTGCGAGTCGGTGACTCGGGCAGGCGCGGCAGACACGATGATGGTAGCAGCGATACTGGTGATGACGATGACTATGACGACGGCAAGGCCACTGACGGCGCCGATGCTGATCACGCCGATGGCGATGATGGTGTTTACTTGTCGGGGCGATGAAGGTTTTGGAAGGTTTTCGACATGCGCGCGCGGCCGACGGGCGCGGGTGGCCCGTGCTGTGCTATGTGACGGGGAGTGTGCCCTCCCAACGCCCCACCACGCGGGCAAGGACGTTCCGATGATTTCGGCACGGGCGCGCGAAAGGCCAGTGTTGTCGCATTTGATGGTAGTGTAGGAACGCAGATGGGCTTCTTCTGAATTTACCAGGGCGCGCGCAAACGGTTTTCAAGAGGCGCGTTGCCAAACAAATTGCTTTACACGTTTCCGGGGTTTTCGGTTTTGGCATCCTTACGAAAACCTAGGGTTTTGAAATATTCGGGCCTGCGCGCGCGACGACGCGCTCGTGTGAATTCCGCTTTTGTTTTGCAAGGGAATATTGCAAATAGGCGACTTGATAGACGAACGAGGGGGGATCGATATTGGCTTGGTTGCGCTGGCTTGGATTCTTATTTAGAATTATCCATGGGGCAGAATCGTGCGTAAACTGCACATCCCCAGGAGGGTGGGGCAAGTCCAGGGGGGGAGGGTGGTAGATCCTAATTCGTTGCTTGACAAAAGAATCTGCGCGGTGCACTCTACGTGGTGCAATCCATGCGGCGCGATGAATTTGAGAAAGCCTAGAGCTGTCAACTCCACTACTCGCGCAGTCATCCCGCCCACCCACCCGCAAAGAAGTTTGCAAAACCCATGCGGCGGCGATTGCGATGACTGTTCGGCGCTGGCTGCCGCATCGTTGCGGCCGCGCCAGCGCGCACGGTCTCGCGCGCAGAGCGGCTAGCTAGTCTGGCGCGACGGACGCGGCTGCGGCTTCGCTGCCCGCTGGGGCCGTCCCAGCGCGTGTCGCAGGCCGCGCTGGCGCGCGGGCGGTTCAGTGCAAGTCGGTGACCTGGGTCGGCGCGGTCTCATTGCGACGTCGACTGCGGTATACGCGACGATGATCGTAGCGATGATGGCGACGACGACGACGATGACGACGGCAAAGCCAATGACGGCTTCGATGGTGATCACGCCTGTAACGACGACGGTGCTCCCACGTCGGAGGAGAACCCCTCGTCATACAGCAGCCCCCAATCGCGGATGGATTGTGGGTGGGTCGCGGGCTGGGTCGACGGCGGAACGACGACAACAAACAACAACAACAACAACAACAACAACAACAACAGCAACAACAACAATAACAACAACAACAACAGCATCCCAAACCCTGGATACCCGCCCTCTTCGTCTTCGATCGTACCCCCCCCTTGGGGGGTGTATATATATATATATATATGAACCTTCCAAGGAAACCTATGCGGAGTCCACCTGAGCGTGCGCGACGCCGTTGATGGATAACGTGAGTTTCATCCATCTTCCGTAGCTGTGTTGGCTTGCGACAGGCAGCGGAGTCACCGGGCGGTGCCGCCCGTCTGTGGCCGCTGCCGAGCCACTCTGTCTACTGAAAGACTGCCGCGCCGCGCGCGGCCACTTGCAGGGCCACGCTCAGACGACTGATTCTGATCAGCCTCGCTGGCAGCCTTGGTGGGGTGAGGGGAGCGAAGACCTGGCTGGGAGACGAGGATCCCGGGCGCGGGTCGCCCCTCTCCCGCTTTGTTGCTGGCGAGGAGCCCGATGGACCGGGCAGCCCCAGCTGCCGGCGGGTGGCCCTTCCCGAGAGGAGCCTGGCTCGACGCGGCGCTGAACGACGAGCTGGTGGCGGGGCTGCCGCCGAGGGCTGGTGCACGGGTCCTGGCGCGGGTCTAGGACGACGCAGGGGCGCCGCAGGGCGTCGAGATGCTCGAGGTCGAGGTCGCCTACCAGGCGGACACTTTCGGCAGATTCATCAAGGCCCGGCAGGTGGGCGCCAGGGACCCGTACATCTCATGGTAGGCGGCCACCTGCGGGCAGCGGGGCGCACGCCCCGCGGCCACGGTCTTCCACCTCTGCAGGTGCAGCGCCAACAAGTGCGGGACGGTCGCTCCAGCTGGCGCTGTGGTCGAGCACTTGGTCGTGTGGCAGGTAGTGGACCCCCGCGGCGTGGCCCGCGAGCGGGCGAAGCTCATCTGCCCAGCAGCGAATCCTGGGGCGCCTGTGCGGACCGACGCGCCCTCGGCCGAGCCACTGCCTGGAGAGGTCGGCGGCTGGCCGCTCGGGGATGGGAGCAACAAAGTCGAGGAGGAGCCTCGCGGGCCTCCGCACAAGTGCGCCCGCGAGGTGGAGGGCACCCAGACCCCGGGCGGTCCAGGAGAGGCGAGCCCACTCGACCAGGAGATCGCCGGGCTCGAGGAGACCGCCGAGGACCCCGAGCTCGAGGCGCGGCCGGCGCGGCTGGAGGGCAGGGCAGCTCGTGGTGTGCCGAGGCAGGGCACGCCCAAGAACGCTGCGCGCCCGGCAGGAGCCGTAGGCGAGCGCCTGGCACAGGAGGTTGCTGGCCGAGCCGCCGCTGCTGCCCCAGCGCGCACTGGCGCCTCGGGGAGGAGGAGCAGGCCAGCATCGGCCGTGACCGCGGCGCTCCTGGACCGCGACGACGACGACGTGGAGGACGGCGCGGAGAGCGACACAGGGCGCCTTGGGGGCCGCGACCGCTACCAGGGCGTGAGCAGCAAGCGCGACTTGTTCGGCTGGATTGCTTGACAGCGGCCCGACGCTCTCCTCGTGAGTGGGCTTGGCCACCTGCGCAGCCAGTTCACTCAGCAGTTGTCTGCAGGCGAGGCCGACCTGCGGGCCCCGTGTGTCGCACAGTTCCTGAACACGGTGTTCTTCGATGCTCACCCGCCGCAGACGCTGGGGTCAGTCGAGGGGCGGGTCCTCCGCCCGCCGGGGCTGGCGCTCGACGGCATCCTGCGCGGGGAGGTCATCAAGACGGCGGATCTGGTCGTGCTGGAGTTCAAGGCGCGGTCGATGGCCATCCGCGACGGAAACTGGCAATCGGCACGATGGCTCACGCTGGTCGCGCAGGAACAGCTTCCGTCAGGCACCTCTCTGGACGAGGAGAACGCTGCCGAGAAGGTCGAGGCCCGGGAGCTGAAGGTCGCCGAACTCCACCAGCGACTTGCAGACCGCAGGCCGGGCTGGGGGCCTGGCCGGGAGCCGTCTCCGTTGCTGGGGGGGACGGCACCTGCAGGCCATGGGCGCGCGGAGGCGCGCCGCCCGCCCCCTGCTCCCGGGACGCCAGACTCAGGATCGCCCGAGGCGATGAGGATCCTTGCCGGACGAGACCCAGGCGACGGTCCAGCAGCTCTCCGCGCCGGGAAGAAGCCGCCAGCAGCGCGGAGGACCAGCTGCAGTCCCACGCGGTCGGTCCAGCTCCTGAGCGACTCCGAGGGGGACCTCGACGCAGCAGCCGCCGCCCGCGTGCCACCAGCGGACGCGGCTGCAGGCCGGAGCTTCGCGCAGCACAAGGCGGCCCACCCGAGGCGCGAGGGCGAGACCCAGGCGGCGTGGAAGGCGCACATTGGGAGGCCGCCGGCTGCCAAGAGCCGCGGCAAAGGCAAGACGGGGAGGAGCCGCGGCACGAGCACTGCCCGCAGGACAGCCCGGGTTCGGGCGTGAGGGCTGACGCTGCGGAGGCCGCGGCCTCGCGCTCGCCCCCGCCTGCCCTCCGCCCGCCTGAGCGGCAGCTGCGCGGCAGCTCGCGGGCTCGGCGGTGGCGCCAGATGCCAGCCGAGGTGGGCACAGGTGTCAGCTCCAAGTTCAGGCTCGCCCTCGCGGTCCACGAGGCGGTGCACGGTTCGCCAGGGGCGATCGGGCGGTATGTTTGTGAGATGTGCACTTCGCCAGACCCCACGGCCAGCTTCGCGCGGCTGCGCGAGGTGTCGCCGTTACCGTTGCCCGACGCCCCACTCTTCGAGAGGCACCGTGCCGCCTGGTACTTGCACCAGCAGTTGCCGGAGACCTGCGAGGTGGACGCCGCCACGGCGCAGGGGTGGGCCCTGCTCGTGGACTTCAGCCTGAACTACCCGTACATGGGGCACATGCGTTGTCCAACCGTCGCCGCGAGGCGGCCCACGGCAGGTCAGATCAGTGCGCTCGGCATTGTGCAGGAGGTGTGTGTGAACTTCGTTCAGGATGCTGCCGCAGCGTTCGAGCTCCCGGACTGGGACCAGGTCATCGCGTCGAAGACCGACTCCCACGGGGGCGAGGTGACGTCCCGCGCCCCGCCGCTCTCGCTTGCAGGCAACATGCCAGGCCTCCCCGCGCAGGGCGCCCCCGCATCGGTCAAGGCGGTCGACCTCGCGGACGCTCAGGCGGGCGCCTGGCTTGCCGGCCCCACGCCGGCTTTGCTCCCTCGGGATGAGTCGCCTGCCGAGGTCCCGCGGGCGGCGATCCAGGTCACGTCCAAGCAGGAGTGGTACCGCATCTGGACCAAGCTCGTCGAGCTGGGGCTGGCTGCGCCGATCGCCGACGACCGCATCTTCAAGGTCGGGAGCCGCAGGGTGCTCGCTGAGGCGTTCGGGGACGCCAAGGGCGGCACGCGGTCACCCGGCCAGGCGCGCGTCCAGCGCCTGATCATCAACATGGTCCCGGCCGACAGCTACCAGCGCATCATGAGGGACGACATTGGGACCCTAAGTGCATCGCCCTCGTGGGTCGCCGTCCCGCTCCCAGAGGGCCACATGCTGCTCGGGTCCTCAGATGACCTGGCCTCCGCTTTCTACGGCTGCGAGCTGCCCGAGGCTTGGCAGCCATGCATGGCCCTCGCGGAGGCGATCCCGAGCGAGCTCATCGGTGTGCCGGGTCCAGGGAAGACACACCTCGCGCTGCTCGTCTTCCCGTTGGGCTGGATCAACGCGGACTCGGTGTTTCAGCACTGCCACAGGCGCCTCGGGGTCGGCTCTCGTCCCCTCGCTGCGGGGTTTCCCGCGGATCTCGAGTGGCACAAGGACCGCCCACTTCCGTTCAAGTCGAGGGGGCTCGAGCAGCAGTGGGTCCAGTACTGCATCGACGACTGGGACCATGGCGAGGTGGTGCCCAGCGCGATGGTCGCGGAGCTCATCGGCGCGGTGAGCTGCGCCCCGGAGAAGCAGAGGGCCGCCTACGGCTGCTCGGGGACCAGCGTCGCCCCCGGCAAGGTCAAGCACCGCGCGCTGGTCCTGGAGCAGATGGGCGCGGGGTTTGACGGGGCCGTCGGCCAGGTTGGAGTCACGACCGAGAAGCTGCACCAGTTGCTCGCGCTCATCCTGTGGGGCGTGGGCAGACAGGGCCTCTCGACGCAGGGCATGCTCATGGTCCTGGGCAGGTGCGACAGGGCAGCGGAGTTCAGGAGGCCTTTTGTGGGGTTCCTCAACAGCGTGGGGGCTGCTGGGTGCTGGACGCGACCGCAGGCTGTTCCCCTTGGCATGTGCGACGAGCTCTCGGACTCCGCGACGGCGCTACCGCTGGCATACACCGACCTGCGCGCAAGGATCGACACTTGTGTCATTGCGACCGATGCCAGTGAGCGCGCTGGGGGCATCTGCCACACGGCTGGGCTCTCGGCGCGGGGCGTTGCCTGCGCGAGGGGGGGAGCTTCAGCAGTGACTTTGCGGCCTGGTGCAGTTGCGGCTCCTGTGCGTGGTGCGCGGTGGCCCCCTCGCATAGCTCTCATCGAGCTCTACGCAGGCGCTGCTGGGGCCGCGGTGGAGGCCTCCAGACTCCCGAACGACGTGATCGCCCCCGTCAGCTGCGAGGTTGAGCCCGCTGCCCGGCGACTGGTGAGTCGCCGCTGGGCGGGCGTGATCGAGCTTGGCCTCATCGAGGCCGTCGACACGGTGCGGTTCACGGAGATGCTGAAGGGTTATGCGCGGGACGCCGACCGGGTCGTCTTGTGCGCGGGAAGCCCGAGCCGAGATCTTGCAAGCATCAATGTCGTGGGGACCGACCTAGAGGGGTCGAGGCCGAAGCTCTTCTTCCCGGTCCCCGAGCTGATCCAGGCAGCGGAGGTTGCCTGTCCTAAGCGCACCATGGTGTTCGTCGAGAATGTGTCCAGCATGACCCTGGAGTCGAGGGCGGAGATCACCAGGGCGCTGGGAGTCACGCCCGTGTTCCTCGGTCCCAGGTGTCACGCTCACATCAAGCGGCCGCGCCTGTACTGGTGCTCGTGGCCCGTCACGGCGTTCTCGGCGTCCGACGCCACCGTCGAGACCAAGGGTGTGGGTGAGGCCGCGTACTTCAAGGTCTTGCTTGTGGTGGAGAGGCTCCCACTGAATGCCTCGGTCTTGGAGGGCTGGTCGACGCTGGACCCAGAGGCGGACCTCCCGTGTTTCACGAGGCCGATCCCGGGACGCCACCCGCCGTTCCGGCCCGTGGGCCCCGACCGCGCCTCGGTGCTGGCCGCGGAGCGCTGGGCTGCCGACAGCTACCGCTACCAGGTCGACAACGACGGGGACGGCAGCCTCATCTGGGACGCGAGGCGTCAGCAGGGCCGGCTGCCCGTGCCTGAGGCGAGCTGGAACGTGGTCCCCGATTTCCAGCAGCCAGGCTTGAGCTGGCAGCGGCCCGGGCACATCTCGGCGCTGGTGCTGGAGGCTGCGGTGGATGGAGCGCGCTGGAGGTGCCGAGCAGTTGAGAACCACCGCTGCCGCTACCTGCGCATTCTGGATGCCCAACCGTTCACGGCAGTCAGCACCAAGGGCAGATCGAGCGTGAGGACTTTGCAGCCCGCGCTCCGGCAGCTCAACTCCCTGCTCCTCGCGACGGCCGGGTACCCGCTGTACAAGTACTGCGACACCGTCGACATGCCCGCCGACACGCCGCCCCGCTGGAGCTATGGCCGCCGCTGCCACGCTGCCAGTGCTGCCGCCGGCGAGAGCCAGGAGAGCCGCCCCTGGCAAGCGTGCAGCGCAAGCAGCAGCAAAGGAAAGCCGGGTCACGGCCCAGGCGATGGCGCGACGAGCTGCAGCGAGGACCCAGCCGCTGAGGGAGGCGATGGTCACGCCGCTCACCCTGCGGCGGTACCGTGCGGCGGTCGGGGAGGTCGTTGATTTCTGGATTCAGGAGCACCGCCAGCCGCAGACGCCCGCTCAGGTCGACGCTGGCGTGGTCGCCTTCATCGAGAGCCGTTGGCTGAGCGGAGGATCTTTAGTTGAAGTTAATAATGCAATTGCAGGCATCAGGCACTCTTTCCCGCCCGTGCGAGGGCACCTGCGAGACAGCTGGCGCTGGCCTAACGGCAACGCCTGGAGCCAGCTGCGCGAGCGCTGCCGATCAGTCCTACAACAGCGTTCGCAGGTGCATTGGCGGCCGTGGGCCAGCGTGGCGCTGCGGCGGTGCTGGCAGCAGGCTACGACGCTTTCCTCCAAACGGGTGAGATGACCTCGCTCGTGTGGTCTGATGTACAGCTGTATCCAGTCCGCCAAATGACCGTGCTGCAGCTGCGCAACACCAAGAGCCAGCATCAGACTGGTGCCCGTCAGTTCGTGCTCGTGCGGAGCGGTGTAGCGGTCGCCCTCCTTGCCAAAGCAAAGGCTCAGGCGCACGGACAAGACTGTTGCCTCGAGATGGAGCCAAGCAGTTTCATGAGCACTCTCGGCCCATACGTGAGCTGCTGGAGCTGCAAGATGCCAAGCTCACTCTTTACAGCTGGCGTCGGGAGGCGCCTCCGCCGACTTCCGCAGCCACAGCTCCATGAGCAGACGCTGCTCCGAGGCAGATGGCATCGGCGTGCACGGCCCGCTTTTATGTCCATGATGCCGTCGCCGAAGCCACTCAATTAAATCTCTCGCCCACGCAGCGGAGGCGCTGCAACCTGCTCGCGCGCGCCTGCAAGCAGAGGCGAGATGGACTGTTCTTGCTTTGAACTGCCTGTCTGTTTGTCCCGCCCATCCTCCACCTTTCTTCCCTCATTTCATTACAACAAGGTGGAGGGCATAAGTAAGAGCAAGAGGGAGCGGCTGTTGCCAGGGTAGGGACCGTGGAGAGAGCTAGGGGGTTCAGGGGTTGGTGACGTTTAACCTCCCGGCGGGGCAAGGGCCCAGCGCGTCTGGGACGCAGCGCGGGTGCTTAAGCGCCACGGCTGTGCCAGGCGGGTTGGGAGGCCCTTGGAGGCCGCTGAAGGGACGGGACCTCTCCCAACTCCTGGGTTGACCCCTGAGTAGCCCCCAGAGGTCCTGGCCTGACAAGCTCCCTGGCGGAGTGCACAAAAACAGGTGAGAGAAGCATATATGAACCTTCCAAGGAAACCTATGCGGAGTCCACCTGAGCGTGCGCGACGCCGTTGATGGATAACGTGAGTTTCATCCATCTTCCGTAGCTGTGTTGGCCCACCCACAGACAGGGGGCAGCATTGCTACCGTCTCGCGCGTGGCCGTGCCTGCCTCCGCGCGAGTTTTTGCCAGGACGAGAGCTAGGGGGTTCAGGGGTTGGTGACGTTTAACCTCCCGGCGGGGCAAGGGCCCAGCGCGTCTGGGACGCAGCGCGGGTGCTTAAGCGCCACGGCTGTGCCAGGCGGGTTGGGAGGCCCTTGGAGGCCGCTGAAGGGACGGGACCTCTCCCAACTCCTGGGTTGACCCCTGAGTAGCCCCCAGAGGTCCTGGCCTGACAAGCTCCCTGGCGGAGTGCACAAAAACAGGTGAGAGAAGCATATATATATATCCCCTGCCACGTGTGATTGGTGAAGCCCTTGAAAACGAAGGGTAACAGATGACGGGGGATAGTGAGGACGAAGGGATCGGAGGAAGGGAGGGGAGGGGCAAGAAGGAGGGAGGACGATGATTTGCGCTGCGAGTGGCGATTCAGCTTGCGCCATGGCTTGCGCCATCCACTCCAGCACAGGTTAACCATAAGTTTCGCCATGTGTCGCGCCATAAACAGCGCCACGTACCACCCCCTTGAAAGAACATATCGTGGATACCCCCACGGGGGGACGTACAGCTGCGAACTGGTGTAAGAAACAAATTTCGTGGAACCTTGAAAACAAGCGGGATGTTGGGAGAGTGGGGCGGAAGGATATTGAGAACTGCAACTGTGTCGGGAGGAGCGCGGAAGCCCCAAGTGAGAGCGCGATTCTTCAATACATTGTCAGGAAGTATCAAGCGGGAGCCGCGATCCGGTGGTAAATTGCAAGGGGGCCCCAAGCGAGACCGCGATTCTTCCATAATCTGTGAGGAAGTATCAGGCTGGAGCCGCTGTTGCTGTAAACCGGGGGCCCACGACACAGTTTGACCCTCAAGATTTTCCCTGTTAAAAAGCAGGGTGCGAGCCCCGGGAAGGGCACTTCAATCGAAAAAACAATGTGCACCAGACGGGGGGAATCAACAATACATGTTCTTCAGAAATCAGAGTTCAACAACAACAACAACAACAACAACAACAACAACAACAACAACAACAACAACAACAACAACAACAACAGCGATGATGGCGACGACGACGATGACGACGGCAAAGCCAATGACGGCTTCGATGGTGATCACGCCGGTAACGACGACGGTGCTCCCACGTCGGAGGAGAACCCCTCGTCATACAGCAGCCCCCAATTGCGGATGGATTGCGGGTGGGTCGCGGGCTGGGTCGACGGCGGAACGACGACAACAAACAACAACAACAACAACAACAACAACAACAACAACAACAACAACAACAACCACAACAACAACAACAACCACAACCACAACCACAACAACAACAACAACAGCAACAGCAACAACAACGACAACGACAACAACGACAACGACAATGACAACGACGACAACAACAGCAACAACAACAGCAACAACAACCAACAAACCAACCAACAACAACAGCGAAACAACAACGAAACCATGAACAACAACAACCAACAAACACAACAGCAACACCACAACAAAACCAACAACAACAACAACAGCAACAATCACAACAACAAGGGCGACAACGACTACAACAACACCGGCAACATCCACATTAACAACAACAACGGCAACAGCAGCAACAGCAACATCAAAAACGCATCATTGACGACAACAACAACAACAACAACAACAACAACAACAACAACAACAACAACAACAACAACACAAACAACAACACCCTTAACAGCAGCAGCAGCAGCAACACCAACACCAGCAGTAGTAACAGCATCAACAACAACATTAATAGTAACAACCGTATCTTGAACAGCAGTAACAACAACAAAACAACAGCAACAACAACAAAAGCAGCAACACATGGACACTGGAATAACGTTTGGCCCCCTCTCACTGATTGTATCAGATTGCTCCCAAGGCCACAGTCAAGGGGCGGGAAGCTGCCCGAATCATTCCGAGAGCGTTCTTGAGTGGGGTTTTGGAAAAGGGTCGTGGAGGAAGTCGCCTTAAACCGACCAGAACCCCCCATTGAAGAAGGTTTTCTGGGGAGGGTCGGGGGGAACTTTTAACCACCATGTCCTCTGAGCTCTGAAGTTTTTTGTGGGGGGGGGGTCCGGGTGGAAACCCCTTCTGAACCCGGAACAAGCATTAATATTCCCACCACCCTTCCCACACAAAAATGCATAGCGAAGAACTCAGGGGGGAGGTGCAGGCGTAGGGAGGACAACTCCCCAACCCCGTCCCAAGACGGGTTACGGAGTTGTTTTGTTCAAGGGGGTTTTCCCTAATTTGAGGTTTTGAAAGCCTGGCAAGGGGAACTCTCCGAACCGCTGAAACAGAAATCTGTGTTTTGTGTTTTTGATGGGGGGATGTGAAAGGGTTCACGGTGTTTCGTGGAGACCAGGCCCCCAGACAACAAAACAAAAAGAAAACAACCGAAAAAACCGAAGCTTCCCCCCACCCCCCCGCCCCCTGGGCCCTGACCCCCAACCCGCCCCAAACAAAACCCCCTCTCAAGGAGGGGGGGAGAGTTCGAGGGGGCCGCGAAACTCCCACCTCGGTCTCCGGATTCGACGCGTTCGACATGGATTCGATCGACATGAATGCGACACGGATGCTTGGCGCGATGGGTCACACGAGTTCCCCCAAAGATGCAGCATGAGGTTCGGGCCGACCCTGCTGAGCTCCGCCAGCCTCGCGGCCCCGGCCAAGCGGCCGTCCGTGCCGGACGATTCCTTCGAGTTCGAGGACACGGAGGGCGACACCGTCTGCCTGCAGAGGCCTCCTCCTCCCCCCCCCGTCCTGTGCCGTCCTCTTTGTCGCAGTGGAGAAAGGGGGTCCTGAACGAAACGGGCTTGCCCAAGAAGAGGAGGAGACAGCAGATAATTGTGTGTCTTCGCGTGCCAAATCATGCGTAAGCCTAGCCATTCGGCCGCAAGCGGTGGATCGCCCAGGGACCAGAGGCATTCCTCTGATCTTTCTTCGTTTGCAAGAGGGCGATCGAGAAGTTGCTCGGGCCCCCTCTCGCCTCTCGTGCCCTCGGGGCTGTCAGAGAGCGATTCGGGGTCATGAGGAGGTAAAAAAAAGCACACGGACACAATTAATCGTCGATTCCCCAGAAAATACGGGAAAATATGGGGAGTGGGGGGAAGGCGAAAACCCAGAACATCTGGGAAAATATGGTGAATCCTGTTATCTGTGCCTATTTATTTAATCGCTTCGCTCATTCCGCCGGCCCTGGAGCCCTCTTTAGGGCCTCTTGGGGACCTCTTGGGAGTCTCTTGGGGCTCCTTGGCGGCGTCTTGGGGGACCCCAGGGCCTCTTGGGGGCCTCTTGGGGCGGGAGGGGGGGTAGTCGATTGCGGCTCCCCCCTCGGAGGCCACGATCCTCGTGAGGGGTGTCGAAAAATTGCCCAGTCCGGCATCTCTGACCCGAGTCTGCCGGGACCCTGCCGGTGTATTTTTCGCCCGGAGACCCCCAGGGGCGGCCCCGCGCGCGCGAACTAGAATATTGTTAACCAGTTACCGGAGATCTTAGCACGCCTCTGGCCCGTTGGGCCGGCGAATTTGTATGTCCCAGGGCCCCTTCACAGAAGACAGGGCGACGAGATCTGTACATGTCCACCGCCTCTGGCAAGGCCCAGCCTTGCCCGGGAGCGGTGCGTCCGCTTCCCCAGCTTGCCCAGGGAGCCACACATACGCGGGGGCCACCACGAGGGTGCGCAGTTGGTCGCGCGTCGCGGTCTGGGCTGTTCGAGAGCGAGGCTCGAGTCCATCCTCCTGTTCTGGGGGGGTGCGGCGCGAACGCGCGAAGATGTTCGTGCTTCGCGGAGCGCGAAGCGCGAGGATAGTTGCCCTAGAAACACCGCTCCTGGGTCCAGACCTCCTCTTCGGCGGCCGACCCAGGGGGGAAGTGAGAGGGGGCGGGCCCTCTCAGAAGGCTCGGAAGTCTTCTGGCCGCCTGGGAAGCTTCCTGAGCCTTCCCCGAAGACACAGACGGCCTTTCGGAAGGCCAGGGCGTTTCTGAGCAGCTCCGCCGCCTTCCGAGGAGGCCTCCTCCTCCTCGCTTCCCCCCCTCGCTCGCCGCCGACCTCTGGGGAGCGGGGCTCTGAGAGAGCCATGGCGCCGAGCGTTCGAGGAGGGGCGGTGGGGGCGGGCGGCGGCGCGGCGGCGGCGCGGCGGCACCTTCGATGGTTGCGCCACCGAGCGAGCGGGCCCGGTGGGTGCAATGTGCGAGGGGGCGGCGAGGGGGGGCGAATGACCCAAGGAAGAGGAAGGGCCTCTCGCCTTCGAGGAGCGATGCAGCCGTCGTCTCTTCCTCGGCAAAGGGCGGCGGAGGGGCGGCGGAAGCTGGCGGAAGCAGGACGAGGGCGGCTCTACAGGCGGGGGAAGGCCGGCGGAAGCGGGCGGAAGTAAAAGACGGGTTCCCAAAAGATGGAAACGTTTTTAGGTTAAAGGTTTTCCAGAATCGGCCACAGGTATCCAGAGGCGCCGATGGTCCATGCCTTTGGCGAGGCTCCCGGGCGAATGCGTATCATGTTCGTCCTTGGACTACTCTTAAGTCGGGCGTGTCCCTCTACAGGAGGAACAGTCAAAAATTGTGAAAAATCGTATGGTGACGATGTTCCTATTGTTTTTAACACTATTGCATATTTGTTTGGCTATTTGTAACGTTCGCCCCAAATCCGCTTGTTGAAGGACATGCCCGACCTGACCCTATCGTCGCCTCCGATCTTGCGCATAGCCGACTTCCCCACCACTGTGCGGTGCACTGTGCGCGAGACCGAGCCGCCCAGAAAATGAGGACGCGGATGCGCGTCCTCGTTCTTCGGCGGCTTCGCTCCGTTGCGCCTCGTCGTTGTGCCCCCCGTGTTCGGTGAGGGTATCGGCAACATGTTTTGTTTCATACGCTCGCAGCTTGCAGCCCTTCACTAGGGGAACGAAGAATGGCATAAACATAACAACTCGGAGGTCCGCGCGGATTTCTCGGATCGGCGTTGGGGCCCCCTGGCGGCGCCGCCCCTGGCGCGCTCCGCGCGCCAGGGAGGGGGTCCAACGCCGATCCGAGCAAGTCGCGCGGACCTCCGAGGTGTTATGTTTATGCCAGTCTTCGTTCCCATATTCACTCCTCGTTCAGCGCACGTCTGCAGAACGTACCCTCGGGCGCATTCTTGACGTCGCGCGTGCTTATTTCCACCAGCCCACCCGCAGCGAAACCCATGCGAGTTGACTCGATTGGGGAAGCGTAGGAGCAAGCAGTTGAACAACGATGGGGCAGCCTTCAAATCGAATCTCGGAATCAGCGTGAGCGGACCGAGGAGTCACCCATCATGTTTTCGCGGATCCTTCAGTACGGGAGTACAGTCGGGGCGCTGAAGAAGGAACCTTTGTCGTTGGGGAGGGGCTCCGTATTCCTTGATTGTTTCACAGCTTGCCTTAGGTTGTCCTTAGGTTTTCGATGGGAACTCGAACTTTGACTGATGGGAAAAAGGGGCCTCGTTCCTTATTTAGGGTTCCTTAGGTCAACGACCCGACTGTACGTTGGAGGTTCAGTTTCGTCATGTTGGGGCCCTCTCGCAGCCAGTGGGGCTCTCTTGGGGCCCCCATTGGGCCTCTCTTGGGGCCCTCCTGGAAGCCTTTTGGGCCCTCCTGGGCCGATCCAAGACGGCATCGATCGAGTGGTCAGGGCAGGGAGGCAGGGATGGTGGCGAAGGAGCGAAGGGAGGGAAGAGAAACTGAGAGGAGGAAGAGATGGGACAAGGAGGACGGGGAAGGAGGAGAGGAGCCAGGAAGCGGGGACGCGGGGCGAGAGGAGGAGGTGGGTATCGGGGGAGAGCGACTAAGGCTCCGGAGGGGAGGAGTGGAGCGAATGAACGTACAGGGCAGGAGACAAACATTGGCATCAGATTCTGAATCTGCCCGAGAGGGCCGAGGCGTCCTCCCGTCCCCATCCAGAGCCCCCCCCATCCCCCGTCCAGAGCAGCCGCCTCCCCCTTGCACGGTCAAGGGCAGAAGCCCCCCCCCGCGGCTCCGACCTGTGGCTCAGAGCCCAGGCCATCGTGGCAGAGTTGCAGGAGAACTTGAAAAGAGGAGGAGGAGGAGGAGGAGGAGGAGGAGGAGGAGGAGGAGGGCCCGTAGCCATTTTGGCTCAAGGACGAGGCCTGGCCCGCCGCGCGCGAGTGAGACCCTGGAGAGTTGCCCCAGGACAAGGGTCTCCGCATTTCTCCTCCACACACCTCACTCTGAGTACTGCACCACCAGGATTCAGCCCTGGACCCTTCTGCTCGCCACATTTCGTTGAGGGTGCCAGCGCCGCTGGCGAACGATGAGTGCAGCAGACTCTCGTGATGCGAACACGCCGCCAGAGCAGAAGATCGCCCGCCTGGAGGGCAAAGGTGCTAATGGAAAAGGTCGAGATGGAGCAGTCCTCTTCGGCAGCATCCCCCTCTCGTCCTCGCAGGTGCAGATCCTCGAAGGCGACCCCATCCTCGACGAGCTGGACCAGCTCGCTGCTGAGGAGCGCGCTACGCCTGCTGCTGCTGCTGATGGTGTCGCCCCTGGTGCTCCACCCGACGTTCAGCTTCTCCAGCAGGACCTCAAGAAGACCAAGACTGTGCTCCTCGGAGGAATGGCCTCGATCAACCGAGCCATGGCCGCCCTGCAGGAGTCCATCACCAACAGCTTCGACTCCCTCTCGGAGTCCGTGGAGACCCGTCTGGCGAGGCAGGAGGCGTCCACTGCGACGCTCCACCAACGCGTCGACCTCATGTCCAAGGAGATCGCCGAGCTCAAGGAGGCGCTCGGCATCATGCAGAAGACTGATACGGTGGCACCAGCAGTCGGCAGCTCGTTCGAGCGGAAGACCGACCCGTGCATCTTGGTGGTCCGCGCGTCCGCGCTGGTCACCAAGCTGGCAGCGACCGCTGCCATCACCCCGCTCATGGAGCTCAACAACTTCGAGGAAGGCTCGTGGAAGCTGGAGGGGGACGAGGCCGCCAAGCGCTTCGTGGTCCGTGTCCGTGGCGCCCCTGGTTGGGCTTCGCGGCGCATTGGCCAAGCTCTCGGCAGCATGCGCAACGGCGACGGCTCCTTCAAGCGATATCGCGCTGCCACGGCCACCGGGGAGAATGCTGAGCTGTACTTCTCTGAGGACAAGAACTTGTTCCAGATCCGCCGCGAGCTCATCACGAAGCAGATTCGGAAGTGCATGTCGGAATGCAAGCCGACGATCAAGTTTTTCGCCGACAAGAGCGCTGGCATCGTCAGCGCGAGTTGGAAGCCCCTGCTGCGTGTCACCCCCAGGTCGGAGGACGTGCCGCTGGTGGAGTTCGAGGAGGCCAACCTCAATGCCATCGGCCTCTCGCGCGGCGAGCTCGAGCCCAGGATCACCCGCATTTTGCAGGCTGGTCAGGGCGCTGGCGGCCCTGCTGCCGCGCCATCGTGGAGTCTTTAGCAGCTGGTTCGAGCTCTCAGGGGGAAAAGTTTCACCAGAGCTGGCATTCGGCACGTGGAATGCGAGAGCTCTTTTCCATCACGTGGCCTCAGTGCGGACCAAGAAACTGAGCTACCTGCAGGCAATGCTTCGAGGGTTTCGGGTTATTGCCGTCCAGGAAACGCATGGTAGCAGTTTTGACGTTTCTGACTTCTTGCACTTCTCGGGGACCAAGTACACGTCGTTCTCCTCGTTCTTCCCCCCCAAGCCCGACGGGAACCCCAGCGCCAGTGGTGGGGTCATCGCGTTCTTCCCGAAGATGTCGTCTCTCCCTGGGATCGGGTCTTCTGCGTCTCGGCAGGTGCTGGTTCGTGGTCGCGCGCTTCATACCAAGCTTAACCTAGGCACGGTCCCGAACAGCCTTGACGACACCCCCCTCATCATCTCTCACTACAATATACATAATCACGGGCTCTCACGGACTCAGATTGGGAACCTCATTGGGCATATATCTCAGGAGCTCCTCAAGGCTGTCCAGGACCCCGAGCACTACCTCGTCGTGTGCTCAGGTGATTTCAACATCTCTCGCGGGCCGCCGCTGCCGAGCGTCCCGTCCGCGAGCTGCGTGGCCGATCCGTCGCTGCCCGAGTGGGGCCGCCTTCAGCGCTCGCCGCGGCAGCAGGTCTTTCGGCAGATGGTAGAGCTAGATCCCGAGGAGCACACGCACTACAACGGAGCTAGGGAGCACACATCAGCGATAGACCGCATCTTCATTTCCTGGCCAGGCTGGATCCTCACGTCTATCCACGCCGTCGCAGAGGTTCGAGAGCTCCCCGAGACCCTCGAGCAGAAGAAAATCTCCGACCATTCCCCTGTGCTTGCCGTCCTCCGCTCCCGCCCCCCTCCTCCGTTCGACGCCCGCCCGATTCCCAAAGGCCTCTTTCAGAGCCCTCACTTCGCCCGATATGTGGAGAAAACGTGGCCCGCTATCGACACCTCCGAACTGTCCCCACCACTGAAGATGACGTTGTACAAGCGTGTGCTCCGTGAGGGTGCTAGGTATGCCAGGGACGCGATCCTGACCTCCGACCCCACCTCCTCCCAGGCCAAGCTCATTCTACTACGGAGTATCTCTAGAGTCATATGGCGACAAGATCATAGATTAGCCGAACGTCTACATCGTCACCCTCTAGCCCAGGACTTCCTCGCCTCTTCCCCGCAGACGGGCCGCCTGTTCCTCAGGGACCCCGCGGCCTTTGCACGCCGGCTCGACGAGCTGCAATTCGAGGACGCCGAGGAGCAGTTGCAGTCGCTCCGACGCGAGATGGGAGCGGCAGAGCAGGCCGAGGCTCCCTTTGCTGCACGTGCCAAGCTCCGCAAGCGTGCTAGGCGTCTCGCCCACCGTGCCAGAGTGTGGGCGCCGTTCGACAGGATGATGCCGCTCGTCGGGGTGAGAGCGGAAAACGGCGAGGTCGTCGCGTCCAGAGAGCGCATGAACGATGAGATCCGTGCACATTGGGGCCCTATCTTCCAGTCCAAGACCATAGACTCCAGGGCCGCAGAGGTTTACCTTGAGAAATACTGCCCCAAGATCGACGTCTCGAGCATTGCCCCCCCCACCCTGAAGCAGGTCAACTCGTTCATCAATCGTCTCGCTCATTCAGGTCCTGGCCCCGATGGGCTACCGTATGGCGCTTACAAGTACTCCTCGTTCTCGGCCCCGATCCTCCTTGAGGCGATGTGGTGGCAACTCAATGGGTTCTCTATGGGCTCCTCCTGGAACAACATGCTGGGCATCTTCATCCCCAAAGGATCCGAGGATTCTGATTCCCCTCACGGGTGCACCAGGGCCCCTGCTAACCTTCGCCCCCTGGGCCTCAAGAACACTGACTGCAAGATCGTCACGGGTGTGGTCACTAAATGCCTCTCCAGAGAGCTCCCGAGGTCCACTCACGCATCCCAGAGAGGGTTCGTCCCGACCCGCAACTTTGCGAACAATATTGTGGAGCTCGACGTTCACTCACGAGTGTTCTCCATGCAAGATAATGTGTCTGTAGCCATGCCATCTCTGGTCAGTTACGATTTTTCTCAGGCCTTCCCAAGTCTGGCGCATCAATGGCTGTTCTTGGTGTTGAAGCACGCTGGCATGCCGCCCGCGCTGCTGCAATTCTTCCGCCTGCTGTACACCCACGTCCTTTGCTTCTGCGGCGACATGTACATGACGTCGCTCATGTTCATCATCGGCAGCGGGATCGTGCAGGGCTGCCCTGGCTCGGGCTTCCTGTTCTCGCTGGCGGCGGACCCCTTCCTCAGGGACTTCGCGGCGTCCGTGGAGGACCGTGGCCTCGGCGTGGTGCGTGCATGCGCCGATGACGCGGGCGCGGCGCTGAAGCAGATCAGGGCGCTGAAGACGATGAGGCGCGTGTATCGTGCTGCTGAGCGTGTGGCCGCACTAGTGCTGAAAGTGGCCAAATGTCATATCGTCCCGCTGGCAGCTGAGTTCTCGCCTGAGTTGGCCGACCGCTATCGAGCCTGGCTGCGGGAACACCTACCTGAGTGGCAGGACTTCGCCATCACCCCAGTGCTGAAGTATCTCGGGCTCTGGCTCGGGCCCCAGGCGAAGTTGGACTGCTGGATCGAGCCGCTGAAGGAGTGGCGGACGCGCGGGCACCTCCTGTCGATCAGCGCGTCCCCGCACCGCATCATGTCCTTCAACTATCACTCTCGTGCAGTATCTGTTCTGAGTTATGTAGCGCAATTCATGCCGTTGCCAGCCGCCGTACCTGCCCAGGAAGCCGCTCTCCTGGCCCGTCTCTGGCACACGGCACACTGTGCCCTTCCCCGGGGAGGTTGGTTTAACCTTGGCCGCTGGAACGGCCCTGCGTTCTCGAGCCTGGTGATTTCCACGTCGGCGGCCCTCATCCGTTCGAGCCTGGTCACGATCGAATCCTGGCGCACTCTGATGCCGCTGCTTCGTAGGTCCGCGGACGATCGCCTGCCCTACAGACGTGTTCTCGGCGGCGAGCTGTCCCCTTCTTTTTGGTCCCAGCCATCCTTCGCGGAGTTCCTGGAGTCGGCCTCGCTGGCCTTCCCGAGACCCATAGGGCACGACCTTGTGACCTCGTCCCCTGCCTCGCGTGATCTCCTGTCCGCCTCCGCTGCTGCTGCGATCGCTTTGCTTCCTCCGCTCCCTCCCCCTCCTCCTCCTCCCCCGTCGCAAGGTCAGTCAGCCAACGCCCGTGGGAATGGAAGAAAGAGCGTGAGAATTCAAGGTGCCCTGGCCAAGGCTATGCTCGAGGTGCGATTCCCTGACCCTCTTGTCGATGTCTTTGTTGCTCGCCTCTCTTCGTGGCTTCCTCGCTCTGAGGCCGATATCCGAGCATGGCCCTGGCCGCAGGTGCGCACCACTCTGAATCGTGCCCCACCTGCGATCGCAGGCGCAGTCCTTAAGCTGCTGATCGGCGGCTGGACCACAGACGAACGCTTCCAGATCCGTTGCTCGTGTATCCTAGGTTGTGTGCCGAACGGCCTCGACCGTTGCGGCGACTGGATCCGCCACTACTGGTCCTGCCCCCGCTTTCTGTCCATTCTTGCTCTCGTGCTCCAGGTCCCTTCTCTCCCCGGCTGCCCTGTCCAGCGTCTTGGTCTCTCGTGCCCGTCTCCCGATTCCATCGCCATCCCTGCTGCCGCCACACTTCTCTATAATGCTCTGAATGCCGAGCGAGCCTCGCTCGAGACGCTCTCTTCCCATAGAGAGCGTGCGCTGGCTGCCACTGTGCGGTTCCAGCTCCGACGGCGGTGATCGGAGTCAAGGACCGCGGCCGCCTCTCTGGGTACGTGCGAGGAGGAGGAGGAGGAGGAGGAGGAGGGAGAAGGGAGGAGGAGGGGGCATGGAGGTGCAGGAGGAGCGGGGGGGGGAGCAGAAGCAGGAGAAGGGGGCGGTCAGGCAGCAGCAGCAGGGCGGGGGGTCACGCGCGCGCGAGCTCGGTGCCAAGAGTTGGATATGTGCTCCGAGGTGGGGCAGCGCCATCTTCGTCCTCGTGAACGGCGAGGCCACGTGGAATGGCTTGCCCACCTTCGACCCGGCGTCGGGCCAGCTGAACTGCGGAGGGGGCCTCTGCACCGTGCCCGGGCCCAAGAGGCCGGAGGTCGGCGGGCTGCTGGCGGATTGCCGCAGCGCCGCCGACGAGGCGGACTCCGCGACGGAGTTCACCCTGCGGGCCCTGCCCATTGGCGGCTACGTGCGCTTTAGCGAGGATAAGCGCATTCAGCTCGAGGACGCGACGATACCTGCCTGTCTCTCCGTCCCTCCCCGCTCGTCTTCGCAGGAGAGCGGCAGCGCACAGATGCCCACCAGGCCCGACTCCCCATAGAAGTCGGTGGCGCGCGTTGATGCGGTCACGAAGAGCTGAAGGGTAAACAGGCAGGCAAGCTGACTCGCAGGCGGAGGGGCATGCAAGATGTGTTGTTTAAGCCTGGTTGTGCGACTGAAGGCCATTTCGAGAACCACCCGCATAGAGTCGTCACCGCTCGTTTGTCAACACGGTCAACACGCCTTGAGACACAGAGAACGTGAGTATAGTGAACAGGTGTCCTTGTAAATTCTTAGCTTCGTTGCTTCTCGGCATCGCACAAACTTATTTGTATCTCCCCGTGCCACATACATTCGGACAGTCGGTCTTCTCGCCTGAGAGCCCATTCCATTATCACCGACTTGGGCCGAAAGCGCAACGAGGCGGGTCAGCCCGAGCCCGAGAACCGAACAACCCCAGAAAAGCAGTCAGCAACCTAGTTAGTTAGAGCAGGCAGAGAATGGCACCGCCTGGAGATTTCTCGTTGTCTCGTCTCTCTTATAATTCCACGTGTTCCTTCTCGTTTTTTTCTCTCTCTCTCTCTCTCTCTCTCTCTCCCTCTCTCTCTATCTCGGTTTCTCTCTATGCCTCCGTCTCTCTGGTCATTCCCTCTCTCTCTCTCTCTTTCTCGTTCTCTCTCTCTCTCTCTCTCGCTGTCTCTCTCTCTCTCTCTCTTTCTCTCTCTCTCTCTCTCTGCCCCTCTGTTTCAGCATACGTTCTAATAGTCCTCCTTTCGAACATGTATATATACATCCCCTTCGTTTTCACGAATCCTTTCACATTCGCTCCTCCATTACGGTCTCTCTCTTCTTTTCTTCCTGTCCTGTCTGTTCTCTACCCCGTCCTTCCAAACGTTTCATCATTTGCTTCCTCATCCTCCATGCATGTCTCCTTCCCCCATGACAGGACGGGACAATGGTGACCAAGTTTGAATCGTTGCCGGCTGCAGCGCAATTGTGGGTCCTCGCGGGTGGCGTGTTAGCGAACATGGTCGTGGCGCACGGCTCAGATTGCCAAAGGAGGAGCAGCGGGACAGCAGCAGGAAACGCATGTAGACGTAGCAGCAAGGACAAAGAGTATGAGGAAGAGGAGGGGGAAGGGCATGAATAAGCGGAGAAGAGGAAGGGAATTGGGAGGAGGAGGAGGAGGAGGAGGAGGAGGAGGAGGAGGAGGAGGAGGAGGAGGAGGAGGGGGGAAGGCGGATACTTTACCACCTGCTCCCGTTGTCCAGATGGGCGGTCCAACGTCTGGGCGTCACTGGAGAAGTCAAATTTGCGTCCCCCGCGCCCCGCCCTCACTCCACCAGACGCCCGACCGCACAACATTCTCTGGGTGGAGATCCCTGGAGGCCCCCAGACGTCTCTAGGGGCCTCCAGAGATCCACGGAGGGTCAGCAGCATTAAAACAATGGGCCAGCAAGCAAGCAACCCTGAATGACGCGTGGGCTAGTCGGGAAGGATACCTGTGTCTCATGCCAGGAATTGTTGTGGCCGAGAAGTCGTATATTATGCCCATATGGCCCGTGGGCTAGATGTTGAGGAAACCGTCCTACCCCCTCCATGATGGAATTGATGATTCTTACATGCGTTACACACGCCCTCTGTGATGGAGGGGGGTCGTCGACGCCGTTGTCTTCGGCTTCGATGTCAGTCGCCCGTTGATGCCAAGGGCGACCCCGTCACCCAAAAGCATCCAAAGTCGAGGAGGAGGAGGAGGAGGAGGAGGAGGAGGAAGGGGAGGAGGAGGGGGAGGAGGAGGAGGACGGGGAGGAGGAGGAGGAGGAGGAGGAGGAGGAGGAGGAGGAGGAAGAGGAGGAGGAGGAGGAGGAGGAGGAGGCGCTCGGAGAGCGCGCTCGGCTCCATGGCCCATGGCTTGACACCAGAGTGCCGCAGGCATGCGCTCTCGGCGCGCGCTCCACGGCCCTGCTCGCGAGTGCATCCAGGCCGCGCCCTGTCCTGGAGGAAGAGGGGACGGGGATCGACATGGATCGACGTCCGGGGCTCGAAGTCTGTGGTCATGTTCGGCATTTGGGGGGGGGGGCTAGTCCGTGCTGGCACCTCCGGGAAGCTCCAGGGATCCCCTGCGGGACTTCGAAGATGTCCGCGGCGAATCGTGAAGGCAGCGCTCCGTTCAGCGACGATTGCGATCGGCAAGCCCGAGTAAGGCTTGGACGAGCGTCGCCGTTGCCTCGGTCACGACTGGGGTCCCAGAGACAAAGCCGTTGCCGGGCATACGCGTGGAGGACGTCTCCGAGGAAGCATTCAGAAGGACTGGCCTCGTCGCGAACGACGTGGTGCTTCGGGTAGGGGAACTGGATCTCAGCGCACCTGGTCAGACCACGAAGGGCTTCGTGAGCTTCATCCAGACGCTCCCGTCGCAGGACGGAGGAGGAGGAGGAGGGGAGGGAGGAGGAGGAGAGGAGGAGGAGGGGAGGAGGAGGAGGAGGAGGAGGAGGAGGAGGAGGAGGAGAGGAGGAGAGGAGGAGGAGGAAGCGGCGGAGGAGGAAGCGGCGGAGGAGGCGGGCCAGTCGAGACATCGACGGTCCTGGGCCGCTGAGGGGGCGGCTGCGCTGCCGCGGAAGCTGATCCTCCTCGCAGCGCCCGTCCTCCTCCTCCCCTCCGCCTCCCTATCCTCCTCCTCCTCCTCCTCCTCCTCCTCCTCCTCCTCCTCCTCCTCCTCCTCCTCCTCCTCCTCCTCCTCCTCCTCCTCCTCCTCCTCCTCCTCCTCACCCTCCTCCGCCTCCTCCTCCTCCTCCCCCTCCTCGCAGCGCTGGGGCACGTGCTCGGAGGAGGGCCAGTTGGGGGAGCACGCCGGCCCTCCCGCCCTGCCGGGCACCGTTCGGGCGTGTGCAACTTTTCTATTCCGCAGGTTGGGCCCTCTCGCGAATAGAGCATACGCACGAAGCCGAAGCATGCACGAGGTGTGGACGTCCGAGCGATGGCGAGTGCCAGAGTCCGCCCGCCAATCGGCCCCCCGACCCCTCCCGGGGTCCACCCTGGCCCGCTTCCCGGGGCGGCTCCTGCCGAGGCGACTGGGAGTGTCCAGGAGGCCCAGGGAGGGCGGAGAACGCCAGGGTCGGACGGGGCCAGGACGAGGACAGATCCGTTCTCCAGAGCGTTCCAGGGCGCTCCGAGAAGGCCGCGGGCGCTCCGAGAAGGCCGCGGCGCCCGAGACATCCGCCAGAGCCGCCAGATGTCAGAGGTTCCCCACGATTCATCCTCACCCCAATTCATCTTCGTCCTATACCAGCCTTGAACGTATCCCTATCCCTAAGATTGACTCGCCAAAAGGCGATGACAATCTTCGGGATTCGCCCTCCAAAAAATGAGGGGACCCCTAAGATTGGCATCGTGAGGAGGAGGTGCCCAGCATAGGGATAGGGATAGGGATATGTTCCAGGCTGGTAAGTCCTGGCTCCGTCTTGCAGGGATCACAGCCGCGGGTTGTCTCGACTGGCCCTCCACGATGTCAGAGATTCCCCACGATTCATCCTCACCCCAATTTGTCTTCGTCCTGGCTTCGTCTTGCAGGGAGGACGGCCGCGGGTGGTCTCGACTGGCCCTCCGCCCGCGTGCGCGCTCCACGCACATGCTGCGCTCCACCGCGCCGGTGCCAGCGCGCGGGCCGCCCCGGCTCTGCCTTCGGGGGGCAGCGTCGGGGGGAGGGCAGGCTCCGCTGATCCGTCGGGGGGGGCGGCGGACGAGAGGTGCGAGGATCGAGGTTTCCTGGCGTGGTCCTCCGCCTTCTCCTCCTCCTCCTCCTCCTCCTCCTCCTCCTCCTCCTCCTCCTCCTCCTCCTCCTCCCTATCCTCCCTATCCTCCCTATCCTCCCTATCCTCCCTATCCTCCCTATCCTCCTCCTCCTCCTCCTCCTCCTCCTCTCCTCCCCCTCCTCCTCCTCCTCCTCCTCCTCCTCCTCCTCCTCCTCCTCCTCCTCCTCCTCCTCCTCTTCGCCCTGGGAGCGTTCCCGCCGCCCGGCAGGCCCGCGGAGCCCCGTGGGGCCCCCCGCGGGGCTCCGCGCCTCGGCCCGGCGCCGAGGGCGCCCGCACGCGAGGCCCCGGGGGGGGGGGCGCCTCGGAGGGGGCCCCGAGGGGCCCCTCGGGGCCTTGGAGCCTCGAGGGGCCCGCGGAGCCTCGAGGAGGCCCCCCGGGGCCCCCGAGGAGCCTCCCGGGGCCCCCGAGGGCCCCCCGGGGCCTCGAGGCCCCCGAGGAGCCTCACAGAGCGCCCCTCGGGGCCTCGAGGCCCCCCGGGGGCGCCGCGAGGCCCCGAGGGGCGGAGGAGGAGCAGCCCCCCCCAAGGGGAGAGCTGTCGCGCGGAAGGCGCGGGGGCCCCGCACCGGCAGAGTCGAGGCCCCAGGGAGCAGGGGCGGCTCGAGGGTCGCGGACCTTGCCCTCCCAGATGGGGTCCGAGTAGAGGTCAAGCAGTGGCGAAGCGTCCCGGCTCGCTCATAGTCCCACCAAGCGATGTTCTAAGAACCTTTTCTGGCTTCCACGAAATGTTCTTAGAACATGTCTGGCGGAGCCTGTCTTCGTTTAACGCATCGGGTTAATGCTCTAAGAACATTGTTTTGGTTATTAGAGCATATCTGGGTTCTAAGAACATTTCGTGGTAGGACTATAGGAATGCCGGGACGGTCGGTCCCTGCTCAAAGATGGGGTCGGAGGATCGCACCGCCTGGCCGATGCATCGACGATGCGGCTCGATGTGGGGCCCGTGTTCCCCCACGACGACGCCACCGATGCATCACCTATGCGTCGCCGATGCATCGCCGCATTAACGATGCATTGGCGATGCGGCGCGATCGTTCGACCCCATCCACTCGGACCCCATCCAGGAGGCCTCTAGTGGAGGCTCGAGCATCAAGGTTCGCGATCGCTTTCGGCCAACGCGCAAAAGGGGTGCAGGGGAGAGGGGGGGAAGGCTTCTCAGACGCACCCCTGCTTCTTCGCAGGCGCGGGCCTTGTCTGCAGATGTAGGGCCCGGCGCCTTCTGAGAAGCAGCCTCCTTCGAAGAGGCCTTCCCCCTTTCCCGCCCCCCGTGCGCGCCGCCAAGCGTCGACGAAGGCTGTGCCCCAGGACTTCACTGTACCCATCGGTCGTTGAAAGTAGGTATTTTTGGATTCCCAGATTCCAATCTACTTTGAGCGCCTTCCTACTTCAAGAGTCGAGTGGGTTTCCCTCTTCCCTCCTCTTCAGGAGGCGGGCGGAAACCCAATCTATTTCCAACGCCTTCCTACTTCATGTTTCTACCTACTCCTTCCGACCGATGGGTACGGTGAAGGCGCTGATGTGCCCAGGAGGTATTCAGACCCTGAAGGATTCTTTGATCTGATGAGGGCGGCAGTGATACGGTTGAAGGAAAAAGCTGTGCATCAACAACGCTCCAACGACAACGAACCGACTACCCCCCCTCCACACCCCAGCCTGATAGGCCCGGGGGTGCGGGGGGCGGGTGTATTCGAAGTGGTCCCCCGACTCTTGATGCACAGCTTTTTCTTCAACGGTATCCATGGCCAATCTACGATTGGAGTCCAACCGGCTTCCAGACCCTGGGTCCCGTATCCACTGCTTCCTCATCCGATGCCCTCACCGTACAGTTCGGGCGAAGAGAACTATGCACATGCACCGATTCTGGCAAGGCCCATCCTTGACCCAGGATCGGTGCGTATGCCTTTCTGGCCAAGGTAGGAGGGCGTATGCACCGACCCTAGGCTCAGGATGGGCCTGGCCAGAATCGGTGTATGTGCGTAGTTCTTTTTCCTCTAACAGTGCCAAGCCAGCGTGCCCAGGGTGTCGATGCCCGCAGCGTGCGGTCAGTCAAGCCTGGCGCACAGACGGCGCATTGGCAAGATAAACAGTTATGCGTGTGGCAGAGAAATGCGGGCAGTGAGAAGGATACGAATTCACCTGCAAACGTATCGGCGCCACGCGGGAGGAGGGGGAGGAAGGGAGGGGGCGGAGGGAGGAACGAACGAAGAAGGGGGGAGGGACCACCTCAGGACCACACGCAGCGTGCGAGCAGCCGGAAAAAAGCGCGCCGGGCATCGGCCAGAAGCCGCAGCGCGCGCGTGCCCTCAGGAGGCCGTGAGCGTGACGCTGCAGCGCGCGGGCAGGGAGCTCTCCCTCGACGTGCTGCCAACAGTGGACCCCCAGACCGGCCTCCAGAAGCTGGGAGTGGCGGCCTCAGCTCGTCGTGTTGAAAACGACGCGAAGATCGGGACAAAATCGGATCGGGATAACTCGAAATCTCTGAGAATCGGCGGGTTTGGAGGGTGTATTGGGCGCCGCGGCCGCTCCAGAGCGTTCCGGAACGCTCTGAGAGCGCTCCGGAACGCTCTGGAGCGATTTATCCCGATCCTAGCCCTGTTTTAACAGCGAATCGAAAACATTGGTGGCCTATATGTCCCCACGCATGCGGATAAGTCAGCCGGGGAAGCCGAGGCCATGCGAGCGGGTGCATAGAGGGGGCCACATGCGAACCCTGCCCCTGTTTTACTCAGCTCGTCGTGTTCGAGGGTCTCGTGCGTTGTCGGCGGATCTCGGCGGCTTTCCAGCCTCCGGGCACCTTCCAGCGAACTGCGCGTCGCCGAGAGCGTTTCCCGGGGCGCCCGGATTGTCCCGAACGGTCGCTGGAGATCCGAGCTTGGACCCGAAAACCAGCACAGGTAACGTCCCAGCGTGGGACACCCCTCACACGCTTCGAGGCCCCATAGGAGCTCCGCCGAAGGTCCCAGTGGCACAATTCGAATGCGTCACCGCCACTCATTTCGGCACACCCTTCACACGCGTTGTGGCCCCATAGGAGCTCCGCCGAAGGTCCCAGTGGCACAGTTCGCATGCGTCCCCGCCACCTATTTCGGGACAGGGGGGGCCGGCCACGCGCAGAGGGCGAGCACGGGAGAGGGAAGGCCTCTTAGAAGCACCCCTGCTTCTTCGAAGGCGCGGGCCTTGTCTGTAGATGTAAGGCCCGCGCCTAGACTCCGTCTAAGAAGCCTTCCCCCCTGCCCCATACAGTAGGGGTCCTGAAGAAGGAACCCTTTTCGTTGGGGAGGGGCTCCGCGTTCATTGAGTGTTTCGCAGCTTGCCTCAGGTTTTCCTTATGTTTCCGATACGAAATCGAGGGTCAATTTATGGCAAAAGAGGCCTCGTTTTTTTTATTTGGGGTTCCTCAGGTCAACGCCTCGACTGTAGATGTCAGGCCCGCGCCTTCTAAGAAGCAGTCTCCTGCAAAGAAGCCTTCCCCCCTGCCCCATGCCCCCCTCTGCGCGCCGCCAAGGGGGACGCATCGACCCCCAATCACCCCATTCATCGCCGATCGGGTGGCCGACAGCAAGCCCCCCGCACGGGAGCGTCCGGACATTCGCGATCGGGGGCCTGCCGCCGATCTATCGGCGATGTATCGCCGGGGCCCTGGAGGAGGAGCCCTTTTCGTTGGGGAGGGGCTCCGTGTTCCTTGATTGCTTCGCAGCTTGCCTCAGGTTTTCCTTAGATTTTCGATACGAAATCGAAGTTCAACTCATGGAAAACAGGGGCCTCGTTCCTTATTTAGGGTTCCTTAGGTCAACGCCCCGACTGCATCGCCGATTCCAGCTCGGTGCGTCCCCCCCCCTGAGCACGTCCCCCCCCGACGTGGCCCCTCAGCTCGCAAGGATCGACACACGACACGAGGGCGGAACTTAAGGATGCGAAGACCGACAGCGGTTCCCATCCATCATGAGCAGGCCTCGCTGCCGGTGTCGCCACGGGCGTTGTCCAATAGCCGCTGTCGGTGTTGGACGACATGTGCGGTTGGGAATCGTACGCATATTTCCCATACCTATCTCAGGCGTGCCAATCAGGTGTTTGCCAACGTTCGAAACAGCATCAAGCACACAAGTTCGGAGGTCCGCACTGGCGTTGGGGCCCGTCTTGGCTGGCACGGGCCCAACCCGCGCGGATCTCCGAAAGTGTATATTTGATGCAGTTGTTCCCTGTTGCCAGGAAGTTGCATGGGCATACCGTGGCCGGCCTGGGCAAGAGCTGAGCACGTCGTGCCTATGTCCTTCCAGCGGTTGGCCCTCCATACCTCCCCAGTCATTATCTCTCCCTCCCCCCCTCCTCACTCCCTCACTCCCTCCACATGTTCAGCCACACACAGAGGGGGGTGGGGAGAGGGGGGAAGGCCTCTTAGAAGCACCCCTGCTTCTTCGAAGGCGCGGGCCTTGTCTGTAGATGTAAGGCCCGCGCCTTCTAAGAAGCAGACTCCTGCAAAGAAGCCTTCCCCCCTGCCCCATGCCCCCCCTCTGCGCGCCGCCAGCACGTGCCCACGCGTCTTTCCAGCGCGCGGCCCCTCTGTATGGCCAGGCACGCTGGGCCTCCGCACGTGCACCCAGCGCGGAGCCTCCCCGGATGTTCCACACGTGAGTGCAGCCATGATTCAGGAGGGAAAACAACACACAGACACAATTAATCGTCGATCCCCCAGAAAATATGGGAAAATATGGGAAGTGGGGGGGAAGACAAAGACCCAGTGGGGAATCTTTTTATTTGTGTGTATTTATTTGTGTGTCCTGGGGCCCCTTCAATGATGTGTGCTTCCAGCTTTTTGTTTCAAGTTGCTTCTGCTCGATCCCCCCTGAGTGGCCTTCGCCTTGCCTCCCTCCCTCTGCGGCCGCCCGCTCCGCCCCGCCTCCCGCTCCTGCACGCTGGCCAGTGCTCGCCACGGCGGCGCCCCCGCTCCGTCAGCTCCCTCCGCCCGCGCAGACGACCCCTGCCTAGCCTAAAACAGGGCTAGGATCGGGATAAATCGCTCCAGAGCGTTCCAGAGCGCTCTCAGAGCGTTCCGGAACGCTCTGGAGCGGCCGCGGCCCCCAATACATCCTTCAAACCCGCCGATTCTCAGAGATTTCGAATTATCCCGATCCGATTTTGTCCCGATCTTCGCGTCGTTTTATAGCCGCCGGCGCAAAAGATGTTTCCGGTCTCTTGGCAGTGCGCGGGCTTGCTCTCATCGGCCAGCTCCTTCTCCACAGGGGGCCACAGGCGAACCCCACCCCCGCCCCCCACGATTTCTGAGGGGGAGGCAGAAATTCGGGGTCACCGCACGGTCTTGGGACTCGGGTCCTTCTCCGAGGACGTCTCGGGCGACGGGGGCCTCCAGGGTCCCAAGACCGTACGGTGAGGTCTTGGGGGATTTCGAGGCCACCGCACGGTCCGTCACCGCACCGCTTGGGGACTCCAAAGGTTCGCTTGTGGCCCCCTTCTCCACAGGGGGCCACAGGCGAACCCTACACCCCTGCCCCCCTCGATTTCTGCGGGGGAGGGTGGGGTTCGCTTCGTTCGGGAGGCTCCCGAACGAAGTGACCCCCCCCCTCCCCCGCAGAAATCGTGGGGGGTAGGGGTAGGGTTCACAAATGCCCTCCTACGATCGGGATTCAAGGATCGCCCCCTGCCCAGCACTTCGCTGTCGGGGGCCTGCCGTCGTCGATCAGCGCTGACTCCAGGTCGGCGTGTCGAGGTGCCATTCCTGGTCACCCGAGGAGGACGACGAGGAGGTGAAGGCAGAAGAGGAGGAGAAGGAGGAAGAAGAGAAGGAGCAGGAGGGAGGGTGTAGGCTTCGCCCGTGGCCCCCTAGACTCCAGGAGCAGCGCCGGCCTGGCAGGCCGCCCGCCCACCGGGCGCGGGGCGCTGCGCCGGCCTTCCCGGAGGCCGAGGAGTGCGGGGGGCCCCGTCCCCTTCGCTCTCTCCGGGGCCCTGCCCCGTCGCCGCCGAGGGCTCCGCGCGCAGTGCCAGGGGGCGGAAAAGAGGGGGGTGATGACTAGGGGGGGGGGGATATCATGGCGGGGGCCATGATATTTCCCCAGATTTCATGGCGCCTCTTCTTATTCCATTACGTCCCTGGCCCCCCCGCTGGGCCGCGCACATGCTGCCGGTCATGATTTGCACCCCCCCCGCTTCTTGGACACCCCCCTCTTGGCCGCTCCCGACTGCCAGGGGCATGGGCGGCGCCCCTGGAGGGGGGCCCAAAAAGAAGAGACACCGCCACCACGTCGATTCCTCCTCCCTCCTCCTTCCAGCGAGAGGGAGGTGGGGAGGGACCCTGACCTTCCAGAGTGCAAAAAAATAGCCCTCCAGACCGATAGACCTATCTGGGCTGCCTAAAACCTCGACAGGAATTCAGATATCGAGGCCCTGGTGCTATTTTTTAGGCCCTCCTGGAAGGTCAGGGTCGATTCCTCCTCCCTCCTCCTTCCAGTAAGAGAGAGGGGGGGAGGGAGGCGGTGGTGGTGTGCATATGTTCAGGCCCCCCGCCGGAGGCCTCGCGCGCCCCCGCCCCCCTGGTGGGCGCCTCGGGCGGCGCTGCGGAGCGTGCCCGGCACGGCGTGGATCGCGCTCTGGCCGGTGCCCTTGGCGTCGCTCGGACGTGTGCACTTTTCTTTCGGCGAGGACCATCGAGGAGCATCCTTGATCATTCGGCGAAAAAACCACGCACGAAACCGAAAAAAGCGCAAGAAATGGACGTCCGAGCGATGGCCAGTGCCTGCCTGGGGGATCGAGGCGCCTCGCACGCAGCGAGGCGGCGCTGCCTGGGGCGTCCCTGCCCGCTGCGAGCCCACGTCTGCGAAACGGCCAGGAAAGCGCCTGCGGGACAGGGTGCAGCCTCAAGCAGATGGTTGCGGCGATGCCCGACCGGCAAGTGACGCCGCGTTCTCCCGCCGCCCAGCCTCTTCTCTTCAAACCCTGCCATCCCGCCAGAAGCTGGCCGCGAATGATCCCAAGGAGCCGCCCCAGGATCGTTTGCTCTTTGCCGAGCTCAATTGCTGACGCGATCGATCACAACCCGGCCCGCGGACATCGTTGACCGATCGATGTTATCCGGCATGGTTTGCAGAGGTTCGGCCAGATACACAGATTGGCAAGTTGTTTGACGAATACCACACGCGCGCAGGCCACACCGCCCGAGGGTACGATTTGGGCCCCCACGCGCGCCGGACCACCCCCTACCCGATCCGCCCATCCTCACCACGCCAAGCACAGGACGACAGGCCATTCTGACCCCTCTCCGCGAACACCTCCCGCCGGCTCGTTCAACAACTCGGAGCACAGAGCGGTGCAGCGGTGAGGTATCTGAGCCCCCGTATCTTGAGGAGAATGTTAGTCCCCAGGTTGCCGAAGGGGTTATCATATTTGCTTGTTGGAGCGATCCCAAGCAACGCCAAGTAATGCAAAGTAGCGCCAAAGACTGCCCAGCAATGTCAAGCCACGCAAAGCTTTGTCAAGCAATGATCCTAAGCAGTGCCAAGCAATGCCAAGCAATGACAATCACAAAGAAGTAGTTCCAAGTAAGGACTCCAGCAATGATTCCTAGCAGTGATTCTAAGCAGTGACCCTGTTCCAAGCATTGCATTGAATTTCACGCAGTGGTCAGAACTGTTCCGAATCGGCTTGGGAGACAGAAGACCCTGATCGGGATCGCGCCGGCCTCACTTTTGTTAATGTGGTCTCCGCCTTCTTCACCTCCCGCCTCCCTTTCATATTCAACGGATTAGTCATACTCCGCCTCGCTCAGGTTCAGACTCATTTACAGACTTACGCACTCACACTCAGACCCACTCCTTCTCAGTTAGACCCGCCCACACTGAACCACACATGCTCAGACCCATCCATAGTCAGACCCACTGATGTACCAGCGCTACGGAAGTTGCTATCCGTGTCGTGTTTCTACAAAGAAAAATCTCGACATGTTGGCGAATCACCATACCAATTTTGGTCACGAAAGGGTTCGATTTCAGACGTTGAGAAAGTCCTGGGCGGAATCGACATTTCGGTTTTGAACCAAGAAGGGGTTGATTTCCATTTTGGGGTGAGTCTGAAGCGCAATCGCCATGTCGATTTCGAACCCAAAATGTTCGATTTCGATCGAAATTGTTGGTGTTCGAGGACGTGTAAACCAGAATCGCCACTTCGACTCTGCTAACCCGCTTTGCATCGAGATGTTTTATCCACAAAGACGAGAAAAGTCAAAGTGTGGCGTTCGTATGGCATTTCCTTGAAGAAACGATTTCTATATAACGTCGGAACTCTTCGGTTCTAGATCGGATTGGCGATTCCGCCCATACTCCTTGAAGAAAAGTGTTCAACCGAAGTCGAAACTTGTCTGTCCGGTCTCCAGATGGCGGTGTCAGTCCCCATGACGGAGGTGGAACATTCCCAGGCCGGTGGCAAAACGGTGAGAAATCAAGGGCCTTCGTTACCCGAAACGAGCAGAGACACACCTTGGTAGCATTTTATTAGGGCCCCGCCGCCTAATTCGTAGGAAGCGTTGCACTTTGGTCGGATTCTCGTAACGGCGAAGATGCTCATCAGCCTTACGGGTACTCAGGCTCACCGCGGTGTAGCAGGCATGGCATTTGAGCTTCCCACGGGGGTGTCGACTAGGGGTGTTCCACGGATGCGCTCGCGCCCAGATTTTCGGGACCCTTCAGGCGAAACGCTCGTTGTAGCCCAGAGGACGGGTCCCCTTCTGGGGTCCCCATGACAACCTCGATATAGCACGCATGGCATTTGGGCCTCTCACGTAGGTGTCGACCACGCGTGTTCCACGGCCCCGTTCGCGCGCATATTGTCGGGGCCCCTCTGGCGAAGCGCATTTCTGGCCCAGTGGCCGGGTCTCCTCTGACAGTTGCATGACCACAGCGAGGTAGCACACATGGTCTCTACAGTCAAGACGTTGAAATAAGGACGGCTTTGGGTTTGGAAGTGGTTCGCTGTTCCTTAGGTCACTTCGTGGTTGATCCTCCTAGACCTCCTCGTGCACCCAGGCACTTCTGGTGCCAAAGAGGGGCTCCGAGCCTTATTCAGCGTTCCTTATTGCAGCAGCCCGACTCCCAGGCTTCCCACGAGGTGTCAACCAGGGGTGTTCCGCGGGACCGTCAGCGGCCTCACTACTGCCGGGACATCCCGGGCTTGAAGCGCCCGTTTCGGCTTCGGCGGCGGACCTCTTCCCAGAGACACATGATCACGGCGTTGTTCACCATTCACCAAACCACCCCAGGCCAACCCGAAGGCCTCAAATTGACCTCCATTTCCAGTGGGGGGGGTCGGGGAACATCGAGAAAACACATCTGGAACCCGTACCCCCCCCCAACCCGAAGTTCGGGTCTTCGGGTTGGGTTGGGGTGGTCTGGTAGGTAGTCAGAAGGTCGGAGCCTCGGCGGCCCGAGAGGAGGAGGAGGAGGAGGAGGAGGAGGGGGAGGAGGAGGAGGAGGAGGAGGAGGAGGAGGAGGAGGTTGTGGCAGACACGGCACGTGGGCCTCCCAAGACAGTGCTGGCCCGGGGCATGGACCAAGAGCGCTCCGCGGGCCCGCCCGCGCCCAGATGGTCGGGACCTCTCGGGCGAGACGCCCGGGTGGGCCCAGTGGACGGGTCTCTTCTCAGTGCCCCGTGGCCACCGCGATGCTCGGGCCGGGCGAAAGGGGGGGATTGGGAAAGGGGGGGGGTACGAAATTTGTTGCATGCAGCTGGTTTCGGCCTCTCCGAGGGGCCCATTCCTCGATACACAGCCGCCTCCGGCGCCGGGATGCGCCAGGAAAATCAGCTCCGTGAGCTGATTCTCAAACCCCCCCTTTGCTATCCCCCCCTTTTGCCCGACCCGAGATGCAGCAGGCGTGGCACGCGAAATTTCCCGAGGGGGGTGTCGGGCAGGGTGCTCCACGGGCCCTTTCGCGCCCAGGAGGTCCGGATCTCTCGGGCGAAGTGCTTTGTTTGGTCCGCAGGGCGAGTCTCTTTCCCCAGCGCTTGATGACCACTGCAATGTGCAGGCATGGCACTTGGGACCCCCAGAGGGGGGTGTCGAGCAGGGGTGTTGCACGGGCCCATTCGCGCCCAGCTTGAAGAAATCTCTCAGGCGGAATACCCGTGGTGGATCGATGGCCAAGTCTTCTCCCCAAGTCCCATGATCACCCCAGTGTAGCTGGCATGGCACTCGTGTCTCCCATAGGGAGGGGTTCTAGGTTCGAGGCTTGTTCTGGAGAGTCACGGCCTTCGGCCTCATCCTTTTCCTCCCCCCCGTCCTGGTCTTCGTCCCTCATCCCGTTCCCCCACCTCCCCGACGGGAGAGGAAGGGGGAGCAGGAGGACGGGGCCCGAGGGGTGCGAGCCCAGGAGATCCCTGGATCTGGGCGGGCCCGATCGCCGCTCCGGCCGCAGGCGGCCCCGCCCGCCCGATCAGAGGGGTCGGCGTTGTCGGCGTCGGCCCTCCTCCTCCTCCTCCTCCTCCTCCTCCCCCTCCTCCTCCCCCTCCTCCTCCTCCTCCTCCTCCTCCTCCTCCTCCCCCTCCTCCGCCTCCTCCTCCTCCTCCTCCTCCTCCTCCTCCTCTCTATCCTCCTCCTCCTCCTCCCCTCCTCCTCCTCCTCCTCCTCCCTCCTCCTCCTCCTCCTCCTCCTCCTCCTCCTCCTCCTCCTCCTCCTCCCCCTCCTCCTCCCTCCTCCTCCTCCTCTCCTCCTCCTCCTCCTCCTCCTCCTCCCCTCCTCCCCTCCTCCTCCTCCCTCCTCTCCTCCTCCTCCTCCTCTCCTCCTCCTCTCCTCCTCCTCCTCCTCCTCCTCCTCCTCCTCCTCCTCCTCCTCCTCCTCGTCGGCCGGAGGTGATGGTCAACACCAACTCGGAGCAGCTGACCAGAAGAGCAGGCGCGCGGGGGGGGAGCGGGCCGAGCCTCCCCCTCGGGCCGGACGAAAGGGGGGGATTGGGAAAGGGGGGATTGGGAAAGGGGGGGGGTCGGCCCCGCCGAGGGGCCCATTCCTCGATACATAGTCGCCTTCCAGCGGGCTGCGCGTCGCCGAGAGCGTTCTCGGGGCGCCCGGAGTGTCCCGATCGGTCGCTGGAGGTCCGAGTGTGGACCCGAAAACCACCACAGGTAACTCGGGCCGGGCGAAAGGGGGGGATTGGGAAAGGGGGGGTTACGAAATCTGCTGCATGCAGCTGGTTTCGGCCCCGCCGCCGGGCCCATTCCTCGATACGTAGTCGCCTCTGGCGCTGGGAAAGGCGCCAGGAGAGAGGGCTACGCGAGCTGATTCTCAAGCCCCCCCTTTGCCATCCCCCCTTTTTGCCCGACCCGGCCCCCGCAGGTCCGCGAGGGCCCACGCTCGGATCACCGCGGGGGGGAGGGGGGCTGAGGGGATTGGGGCTGCTGAGCGGACGCCGATCCTGACGTCCTCTCGTTGTATGTACCCAAGTCGGCGGCGGAAGGATGCTGCCCATGTTCGGCCTCCAGGGGCCCTCACCAGGCGCCATGTATCGACAAAAACTGGATCAGGATGACAAACCTGTCCCAGGGAAGGGGTCCAGACCTCCGGCGGGGCACGTGGTAGAGGGGGGGAACCAACATCTGACTCAATCGATCTCACTATCGATCTCACTCAACGGGACACCTCGGGACACCACGGGACACTTGTCGATCTCACTATCGATCTCACTATCGATCTCACTCAACGGGACACCGCGGGACACCTCTCGATCTCACTATCGGTCCCACTATCGATCTCACTATCGATCTCACTCAGCGGGACACCATAGGAAACCACGGGACACCTCGGGACACCACATCGATCTCACTATCGATCTCACGATCGATCTCACTCAACGGGACACCACGGGACACCTCGGGACACCTGTCGATCTCACTATCGATCTCACGATCGATCTCATTCAGTGGGACACCCCGGGACACCTCGGGGCACCACATCGATCTCAGTATCGATCTCACTATCGATCTCAATCAACGGGACACCACTGGACACCACGGGACACCTGTCGATCTCACTATCGATCTCATTCAAGGGACACCACGGGACACCTCGGGGCACCACGTCGATCTCATTATCGATTTCATCATCGATCTCACGATCGATCTCACTCAACGGGACACCACGGGACCACGGGACACCGGCGGGACAACGCGCGGCACGGGCCGCCGGAGGAGCAACATTTGGTCCGGCCGCGGCCCAGCCACAGGAGGATTTCGGGACACCCGCGGGACACCGGCGGGACACCGCGCGGCACCGGCCGCCAGAGGAGTTTTATTTTGTCCGGCCGCGGCCCAGCCACAGGAGGATTTCTTTTCGCCCGCCCACGCAGCTTCGCCTCGCCCGCACGCACGCATGGCACGCACGACGCGAACCCGAAACCGAAATCGATTTCCCGGAAGGGGGGGTCTCCGTTTCACGTCGATGTCACCCACCAACCTCCGCTTTAGCCTAACGAAGGCGCCTAGGAATTGTTGGATAATTCCGCTTAGCTGGGAGCTTCACACCCCAAGCCATTAACGGGGCATGCCCGCTTTGCCGGGATCTTCACCCCCAAAGCCATTTAGGACGCGTGCAGCCCACTCGTGCGCCAGGGTGGGCCAGCTACGCCCCACCTTGGCATCCACGTCTAGCCCCCTCATTCGGGCCGAACGAATGGGGGGTATAGGGAAGGGGAGGGGTGCAGAATCTGCTGCATGCAGCTGGTTTCGGCACCGCCGCCGGGAGGTCGCTCCTGCCGGGGGGCGGCTCTCGCGCGCCTGCGAGGCGCCCATTGGGGACGCCCAGCCCCCTCCCCCCCTGGAAGCCGACTGGCGCGAAGCAAGCAAGTTTGGACAGTATTCAGGAGGGAAAAAAACACACAGACACAAGGAATCGTCGACTCCCCAGAAAATATGGGAAAGTATGGGCAGTGGGGGGGAAGACAGAAACCCAGAAATTTATGGGAAAATATGGGGAATCCTTGTATTCGTGTTTATTTATTTGTGTGTCCCAGGGCCCCTTCCAGTATGTCGGAGGAGGGAGAGGAACCGATGCCGCTTTCCTTCCCTCGTTTTCCCCTTGAGTGGGCCTCCTGGGAGGCCCTCGTCGCCACCGCTGGATTCGCCTTGAGATCCTGGGAGAGGTCTGGGGAGTAGCGGTAAGGACGTCTGAGGCGAGGCGTCAGTTTCAGCACACCTAAAGGGGGAGCGCCAGGGGCGAACACACTCCAGGATTCGTGCCCAGATTGTGAGGATGTCTCCGGCGGTTTGACTGTTTCTGCCCCCCAACATCCTCCGCTTTCCGAGCAGATTGCGAGGATGTCTCAGGGGAGGCGCTAGTTTCAGCACTCCCAGGGGGGGCCACCAAGGATCAGGACACGTCAGGATTCGCGCCTAGATTGTGGGAATGTGTCAACGGCTTGTTCGCTTCTGCCCCCCAACATCCTCCGCTTTCGGAACAGATTGTGAGGATGTCTCAGGCAAGGTGCTAGTACAGTCCAGAACTCGCGCCCAGATTGTGGGGGTGTCACAGGCGGTTTGCTTGTCCCTCTTTCCCAACATCCTTTCTGCGTTTGGAGCAGACTGTGAGGATGTCTCGGGCGAGGCGCTGGTTTCAGCACTCCCAGAGGCAAGCCGCCATGGGGGTATCTCACGGGCCCGTTCGCGTTCAGATTGTGGGGATGGCTCAGGCGGTTTTCAGGAGGGAAAGAAACACACAGACAAAATTAATCGTCGATCCCCCAGAAAATATAGGAAAATATGCAAAGTGGGGGGGGAGACAGAAACCCAGAAAAAATGAGAAAATATGGGAAATCCTTTAATTTGTGTGTGTATTTATTTGTGTGTCCCAGGGCCCCTTCAGGTTAGCTTGTCTCGGCCCCGCCCCCTGACTTCCCACACCTGGTGGTCCAGTGCCCACCTCGAGCAGGCGTGGCTTTGGGGCGCCCCAGGGGTGGGGACACTTCATGTACCAGCCTCGAACGTATCCCTATCCCTAGGATTGACACGCCAAAAGGCGATGACAATCTTAGGGATTCGCCCTCAAAACATAAGGGAATCCCTAAGATTGGCATCGTGATGAGGAGGTGCCCAGCATAGGGGTAGGGATATGTTCCAGGCTGGTAGTTCATTCTTCGCGCTCAGATTCTGAAGATGTCTCGAGCGGTTTGCCTGTTTGGGTGGTTCTGACGTGTGTGCGGTCAGAGCAGATTGTGAGGATGTCTCGAGCGAGGCACTGCTTTCATGGCAAAGCGTGAGTGAGAATGTGCGAGGCGCTGGCAGGCGGAGGAGGAGGACGACGGACGAGGAGGGGGGATGACAACGGAACGGGAGGAGGGAGGGGAAGGCGGACATGCGAACAGGCAGATTGACAGGATGTCACGAGCGAGGCGCTTGTTTCAGCACCCCAAGGGGGAGCCGCCAGCGGGCGTTTTACTTAGACGCCTCCGCCTCACCTCCCCCTCCTCCCCCTCCTCTTCCTCATTCACATACGCACACACATTGAGACTCACTCAGACTTATACACACACTTAGACTCATTCATACTCAAGCTCGCTCACACTCAAATTCACACTCCGGCTCATTCATACTCAGACTCACTCACATTCAGATTCGCTCACGCTCAGATGCCGATGTTCGTTCAAACTGAGACCTCACTCACACTCGGACTCACTCGGACTCAGACCCACTCACACTCAGACACACTCACACTGAGACCTACTCACACTCAGACCTACTCATGCTCAGGCCCACTCAAATTCAGGCTCACTCGCATCAAGATTCGCTCATACTCAGACTTACTCGCACTTCGAATTGCAGACTGCGGGCATGTCTCGAGCGAGCGACTCGCTCTCACACAGACGCTCATTGACATGTTCCCATAGGAAGACGTGCCGGGAAAATAATATGCACATCTGGGGATCTCAGCGCCGAGCACTGCTTGTTTTGTAGCGTCGGACCTCACAGCAAGTCGGCGGGTCGGAGGATCGCGCCTCATTGCTGGTGGCTCGATGCGGAGCCCGTTTTCTCCACGACGACGTCGCCGATACATCGCCGAGGCATCGGCGATGCGGCTCCAGCCGCAGTCCTCCAACCCGTCTGGGAGGCCTCCAGCGTCGCCACGTGGCGGTCTGGGCCAGGGGGGCCCGGCGCGCGGGGGCGTGCGGGGGGGGGGGGGGGGGCGCGTGACGGACGCCGCCGCGCGCTGTGGGCGCCGCGGGGGCGCGGGGCACGCGCAGGGGCCGAGTGGCCTGCCGGGATGTCTCGAGGCAGGGGCCCTCGGGTGAGCACACCCCGCAGGCAGGAGCGCTCGGGTGGCGCCGCGGCGCGCGGGCCACTTCCCGAGGGCATCGCTCGGACGTGTGCGTGCTCCTGCTCGGCGAAGGCCGTCGGGGAGCCTTTGTGGGGCTAGATCTTGCGAGAGAGCACGCGCGCGACGCCGCAGAGTGCACGGGGAAGGGACGTCCCAACAATGGTGAGCTTCGGGCCCGGCGAGCCTCGGGGCGTGCGTGGGCCCAGCTCCACCCTCCGGCGCGCAGCCCGTGCCGGCCCTCGACACGCTGCCCGCGCCGCATGGCGACGGGCTGCGGTGGACAGGCAGCGCACCCCGGCGCCACCGCACGCGTCCTCGCGCAGCCCTGCGCACCCCACGCGACGAGCACAGCCTTGCGCACCCCATGCGCCCCCTGCCGCCAGCGCACCCTGGAGCTGGCCGTTCGTGGTGCACTCGGTCCCCCTGTCCTTCCTCTTCCAGGATCTAACTTTCGTTCAGCTGCTCCTGATGTACAGCTCGTGGGGACGCACGCGTCCTCTGGATCGTCGATGGGCGCGCGCGCGCGCCGCCACCAGGCGACCTGCTCGAAGCGGCAGGCCTGGCGAGCGGCTTTGTCCAGCGCATGCTGGGCGAGCAGCTCGCGGCACTGCAGGGGCTCTTCGCCGGGGCGCCCGGTGAGCTCATCGGCCCAGTGGGCATCATGAAGCAGGAGAGTGCCGTGTTTGTTTCGACTGCACGAAAGGGCTCTCGCCCTCGGGACCTCCGGTGCGGGCCCAATCGGGCTCCCCGATCGCAGATGGTGAAGCGGCGGCAGCGGCTTGCGCGCCCAGGCTTGGCCACCCGGCGTCGCCCGTCAAGTCGCGCACCCGAGGTCCTTCTTGGCCAGGGTCACTCTTACGTGTCGCCGGTTGTTTCTCGCTCTGAAAGGGGAAAGGGAGGAGGGGAGAGGGTGGAGGGGGGAGGGAGAGGGAGGGGAGCGGGAGGAGGGGAGAGGGAGGAGGGGAGAGGGAGGAGGGGAGAGGGGAGGAGGGAGGAGGAGGAGAGGGAGAGGGAGGAGGAGGGAGGGGGAGGAGAGAGGGAGGAGGGAGAGGGAGGAGGGGAGAGGGAGGAGGGGAGAGGGAGGAGGGGGGAGGGGGATGGAGGGGAGGAGGGAGGAGGGGAGAGGGAGGAGGGGCGAGGGAGGAGGGGAGATCGAGGGCCCCAGAGCTCCGACGATCTGCTTTCTCGTCGGTCCCCGCGGCTTCTCCGCGAGGTCGGCCGGGGGGGAGGGGCCCGTGCTCGGCCCCCATTGGCGCAGCCGAAATCAAGCAGAGGCGAAGCGTCCTGGCTCGCCTATCCCTGACCTTCCAGGAGGGCTAAGAAGTAGCACCAGGACCTCGATATCTTAATTCCTGTCGAGGTTTTAAGCAGCCCAGATAGGTCAATAGGTCTGGAGGGCTATTTTCTAGCACTCTGGAAGGTCAGGGATAGCCCTACCAAACAATGGTCTAAGAACCTTTTGCAACGAAATGTTCTTAGAACATTTCTGGCGGAGTCTGCTTTGTTTTGTCACATCGGGCTTATGTTCTAAGAGCATTGTGGTTGTTATTCGAACACTTCTGGCTTCTAAGAACATTGTTTTTGTTCTGAGAACATTTCTGGGTTCTAAGAACATTTCGTGGTAGGACTATAGGAATGCCCGGACGGTCGGTCCCTGCTCAACAAAAACAGATCCAGGAAGGACATCTTCTCCCCAGGGAAGCGGTCCGGGCTTTCTGGGGCCGCGGACTGGGGCAATGAGATCGGCGCGTGTCGGGTCGTCGCTTTCCCCCTCGGCCTCGTCTTCCTCCTCGTCTTCCTCCTCCTCCTCCTCCTCCTCCTCCTCCTCCTCCTCCTCCTCATCCTCCTCCTCCTCCCCCTCCTTCTCCCCCTCCTCCTCCTCCTCCTCCTCCTCCTCCCCCTCCTCCCCCTCCTTCTCCTCCTCCTCCTCCTCCTCTCCCTCGTTCCCTCGTCGCCTGGCGTGAGCGGCGCGGGAGGTCCAGAGGGGGCTCCACCCCAATTTCGGCCCCGTGGGAAGAGCACACAAAAAAGGTCTGTGGATGTCATCCGACGAAGGCATCTATACACCACCACCGTGCCAGGCCAGGGCCATCCTGGGTTTCAGGATGGTGTATAGACCCTCCTGGCCTCGGCCAGGATGGCGTATACACCATGCCAGGGCCAAGATGGCCCTGGCCTGGCACGGTGGTGGTGTATAGATGCCTTCTGCGTATGTCAGGGCACATCGAGGATCGAGGGCTCCTTGGGAGCTTCCGGGGGGGGGCTCCTCGTGGCCACGGCGGGGCCCGCCTCGGCATCACGAGGCAGGGCCGCTCTGCTTCAGGAGGGGAAAAAACACACAGACAAAATGAATCGTCGACTTCCAGGAAAATATGGGAAAATATGGGAAGTGGGGGGGAAGACACAAGCCCAGAAAATGTGGGAAAATACGGGGATTTCTGTTATTTGTGTCTTTTTGTTTGTGTGTCCCAGGGCCCCTTCACTGCGTTCTGTCCTCGTTCTGGGGCTTGAGGGCCCCAGATCTCCTCAGGGAGGCTGCGTTCGACCCCGGCGTTGTTCCGCGGGGGCTCCTTCGGAGCTTCCCGGGGGCTCTTCGTGGCCACGGCGGGGCCCGCCTCTGCACCACGAGGCAGGGCAGCGCTGCGTTCTGCTCTCGCTCGGGGGCTTGAGGGCCCCAGATCTCCGAAGGGAGGCTGTGTTCGACCCCGGCGTTGCCCCTCGACTTCGGCCTTGGGGCCCCGTGATCGGGTCACGGGAGCTTAGCAGCACGGGCTCAGGGCGGAACAGCACCCCCGTTCGGAAGCGGTCCGGATTTCTGGGGCCGCGGGTTGGAACAATTGGAAGGGCGTGTTCTACCGCTGCTGGCGGAAAACCGGGGGGTCACTGCCGGTTCGAACCCCTCCCCCTCCCCCAGTCCATCATGCAAAGGGAGGGGGGTCATTACCTGTTCGAACCCCCCCCTCACCCCCCCCCCCCTCGAAAACCGGGGGGGGTCACTACCGGTTCGAACCCCCCCCCTCGAAAACCGGGGGAGGGGTCTCTACTGGTTCGAACCCCCCCCGCCGCCAGGCCGGGGAGAGTGGGGACATTGACACACTGGTGGGGGCACTGGTGGGGACAGCGGGGGCAATGGTGGGAACAGTGGGGACAGTGGGACAGTGGTGGGGACGGTGGTGGTGGGGACAGTGGTGTGGGGACAGTGGGAATGTAGTGGAAAGAGTGGGACCGTGGAGGGTACAGTGGTGGTGGGAAGAGTGGTGAGGGTGGTGGCGAGGACGGCTGTGGGACAATGGGAGGTACAGTGGGGACAGTGGTGGGGACAGTGGGGACAGTGGTGGGAACAGTGGGACAGCTCAGTGGGACAGCGGAGGAGACAGTGGGACAGTGGAGACAGTCGGGCAGTGGTTGGGGGCGTGGAGAAAGTGGGGAGAGTGGAACCGTGGTGGGAACAGTTGTGGGGACAGTGGGGCCAGTGCGACAGTGGTGCGTGGAACCAGTGGGGACAGTGGTGGTGAGGAGAGTGGTGCTGGGGACAGCAGTGGCGGATGTGGTGCGGACGGTGGTAGGGACCGGGAGTCGTTTGTCGGCGGTGAGCGTGGGCGGCGGGGGGAGGGGTTCGAACCGGTAGTGAACCCCCGGTTTTCGAGGGGGGGGCTTCGAACCGGTAGTGACCCCCCCCCGGTTTTCGAGAGGGGGGGGGGGAGAGGGTTCGAACCGGCAGTGACCCCCCCCGGTTTTCCGGAGGGGAGGGGGAGGGGGGGGGTCGAATCGGTAGAGACCCCCCCCTCGGGTTTCCTTTTCCGGAGGGGAGGCGGGGGGAGGGGTTAGGAGAGGTTTTGCCAGGGGAAGGGCGGGGGGGGGGTTCCAGCAGGGGGGGGATGGATTTTCGAAGGGGGGGGACCCCCGGGTTCCGGGGGAAGAGGGGGCGAGTTTTCCAGAGTAAAGCGGCGTTGGATCACGCTCTCTCGAATAATTCGATCGGCGGATGCCAGGGGAGGGTCCAGGAAGCCTCTCGGAAGCCTGTAAACTCTTGGTCGAGGGCTGGAGGGCCCTTGGAGGCCTTTGGAGGATCGAGGGCTCGAAGACTCAGGCTAGCGAAGCCTCAGGACTTCGAGGATGGAGGGCTCTTGGAAGCCTTTGGCGCTTTCTGGGCCCCGGCCGCGGCGGGGCGCTCGCCGCGAGGCCGTGGCCAGAGCGCACCCTGCCAGAGAGAGAGGTCCGGGCCGATTCCTTCAAAGGTTGCCAGAAGTGCCCCTGGCCCAAGTTGCCCCCAGCGCTTCGCTCCATTTAAATTATTAATAAGATTAATAATAATAATAATAATAATAATAATAATAGTGAGAATAATACTAATAATAATAATACTAATTATAATAATATATTTTAAAAATATTAAAAAATGAATACATTGTTGTTTCTTTCTTTAAAAAATAAATTAATAATAATAGTAATAATAATATATAAACAAATAATAAAAAAAAATTAGAGCCCCTGGGGCCCTCTGGGCCTCGTGAGGGGTGCTCTGGAGGCCGTGGGGGCCTCCCTGGAAATCCTGGGGGGCACCCTGGGCCAAGGGCACTTCTAGCAACACCCGCTTCTTCAGGGTCGGCATGAAGAGAAGGGTCGGCCACGAGCAGAGGCGGGTAGGGGAAGAGGGAGGGCTTCTTAGAAGCAGCCTCCTTCTGAGAAGCCTTCCCCCTCGCCCTGCCCCCTTGTGTTCGCCGCCGCGAGGGGGTCTGGGGAGTCCAGGGATAGGCGATCGTTCATACGCATCACGGAGAATTTGGTGTCACTTGTTTTGTGACAACATGCCACGTTCCCATGCGAAGATCAAACTCGTTCAGGTGTTGATTGCCTAAGCCAAGCAAATATTAGATACTAAGCTGGGCAATTACAGATGTTCATCTGTACTGTATCCTCGTCCGCGGCTCCGTGCTTTACTTGCCCTTCTTTCCAGGCGTGATCTGTTTTATCCTCTCCACCTGAGCAACCGTCCAGACAATTGTGCGCCATGCGGATACGTATATGCTCCTTTTCGTCCTAAGTCTATCTGACCGGCCAGACATGTGCTTGCCACGCGGATGCGTTTTCTCCTCCTCTTCCTTCACCTCCTCCGCTTTGTTCCTCCAATGCTCGAGGGTCATGGAACGAGATACTTGGTCGTGCTCAGCCCCTCTGTGGCATCCAGAGACCTCTCCCGCTTTATTCATGTCCCTTCCCTCTTCCTCCTCCTGACCAGAGCTGGCACGCGCATGGCGAACTGCGCTGTGCCTCCAGATCCAATCAGCGTTCCACCTTTCTTTAGTATCAGTTGCAAGGCCATTCGCACACAAATCTGCATCTATATCTATGCAACAAAATGTTCTAGTTTGATCCTCCTCCTGGCCTCCTGCTGGCAGCCCCCCCCCAAAAAAAAAAACTCTGCTGCAGGGAGCCGACATGACGGAGACGCAGGGGCTCATATCGGGGGGAGGTCGGGAGGAGCTGGACTGCAGGCACGGCCAAGTGCCCGGCGTGGGGAGGACGAAGACACACACACACACACACAGTTGCACTGTCTCCGTGATTTTTGTCCCAACAATTTCGTGTTGTTGGGTCCTCTTTTGAAGAGAGCGCCCCGCGCCCCCTTTCACGTTCCTCCTCCCCCTCCTCTCCTTTCTGATCCCTGCACCTGCCCTCAGCACGCACATGTCGGCACACCCCTCACATGTTGGAGGAGCAGCAATTAGGAGGAGGAGGAGGAGGAGAAGGAGGAGGAACAGGAAGGGGAGGAGGAGGAGGAGGAATTTGGTTCCCTTGGATATTCTGTTCAAGCTTGTCCCCCAGGAGAGGTCCTGGGATCGCTTTGGAAGGTCCGCCGCGAAGAAGATACGGTCTTGGCGGAAAGGGGTCCTCAGGTGGGTGGCTGTTCTCGGCCTCCCAGGGTCCTTCCCGGGCCCCGGGGCCGCGACAGGGACCCTGGGCCCCGGGCCCCCTGTCGCCATCCCCAGTCGGGAGCCTCGAGACGGGGGTCAATGCAAACGGGGTCAGCCAGGGCGCCAGATCCTGCAGGATCCTGCGAAGACCCCCTCTGACTGACCCGGGTCAGCGAGCCGCTCGTGGCCGCGAGGCGGCCGCGCCTATTGGCTGACCCGGGTTTGCGAAGACCTGCGTTGCAGTTTTTTTTCCTGCATTGCAGTTTTTGGTTTCCTGCTGACCCGGGTCTGGATTGACCTGGGTCAGAAGATCCCCGACCCAGAGATTGGTGGAAGAGAGGACGGATGCATGCAGGAATTCGCGTCGAGCCACTCTGGGCTCTCTCTTCCCAGCCTGTGGCTGCAAGGCACGGCGTGTCACCGGAGCCGCGAGAGAAAGTTCACGGAGTGGAGGTATTGCACCACCACCATGGCGACTTCGCGCAGTCTGCGCGAAGGGGTGTGTGATCCCATGTCGGGGGCCTTGACTTCAACCACGCTCTTGAAAAAGAAAAACGGCATGAACGTAAACTTTCGACGGCCTTTTGTTGTTACTCCATGCTCGCTGCACCTTCCCCCGATCATCGGACTTGTCGTGTTCTTCATCTCCGTCAACCTCAACCTGGCGCTCCTGAACGCCCTGCCTGTGCCTGCACTGGACGGAGGCAAAGCAGCTTTCGTCATCGCTGGTGAAGCTTCTGGGCGGCCGCTGGACCAGAAGACGAAGGATAACATCGAGACCTTTTTTGTGCTCGCCGTCGCTCTGGGACTGGCGAGCCTCACCGTGAAAGACGTCGCGAAGGTGTTCAACTTTTGACGTTCTCTGGGCTGCCTGCGGATCGGCCTTGGCAACTGTGGCGGCTTCGGGTAGCACACGAGCCAGGTTGCGGCTAGACCCTCAGCTCGCCTGCGTCTTTAAAACCGAGCATCGGGGAGAAAGTGAGTTCTGTATGTTTCAAGATGTGTACGTATTTGCGTCTGGGGGACGCCGCTGCACCGTCGGGGACAACGAGGAAGAGGAGGATGAGGCTGATGATGCGGAGGGCGAGCGTGAGCTGGCGGAGGAGGAGGAGGGGGAGGAGCAGGAGGAGCAGGCAGTGCCTTATGATATACTGCATATTGTGTCATATCCGAAGTGCGGCCTCCGTCGCGTCGCATACCTATGGGATGCTTTGTTGTTGTGCCCCATCCTCGCCCTTCCTGTTTCCTGTATCCCCTGGGCAGTGATTGCATGTTTGGTCTCCCATTTGGGCTCCATGGAGCTGGTCCTGGATGTTGGGGTCGGGCTGTAGGTACCTGGCCCCATTGTGGCCTCCGATGTCCTCCCAAGGCTTCCCATGGTTTCCTACAGCCCGAGGTGCTTCACTCTCCCGTGAGTCCCGGGCCTTTCATGGCCTCCTGTGGATTCCTACGGTCCCCTACGGTTCATAGAGCCCTGACCATTGTCGAATGGCACCATGCGCGCACACCCGCTCATCTCAGAAATCATTGTCCAAGAATCCCTTGCAGAAAGAACCACAAAGTCCACACGCGCGCGAGCTCATGTCCAGTCCCTACCAAACACACTAGCTGCGCAAGCGGTTCAACAGAAACACGTTGAAACAAAACAGTGGTGTTTACGCCGGCGAGCGCTGATCTGAATCTTAAGACAATTTCTCACCAATTTACAAATTATCACCATCAACAATTTCGTCCGTTTTTAGCAATTTCTCACCACGCGGCGCCTCCGCGTTGATCGAGCATACGCTTAGTGCACGAAGCCGTATCCGATAAAACAGAGTGCGGGCCGCATGTGCGCGCCGCCGCGCGCGGGTGTCGGAGGCCTACCAAAGCTGTGTGTGTTCGAAGCCTCTTCCATATGATCCTCCTAGCTTCTCCTCCTCCTCCTCCTCCTCCTCCTCCAACTCCTCCTCCTCCTCCTTCTCCTCCTCCCCCTCCTCCTCCTCCTCCTCCTCCTTCAAAGCTGAGTTTTTCCAACACATGTGAACACCAGGGTCTTTTCAACACGAGGTCTGCCAGGTTTCTTGAACGTTTGCGCGTGCGCAAGTCGTCATCACCCTCATCGGCGCCATCGCATCACCGCCGTTGTCGGCGTCGTCGATCGCCGCCAGTGCCGCCATCACCATCACAACCACACTCATCACTGACACATGGACAGTATCATCGTCATCGTCGTCACCAGCTCTGGCGACGTCATTTACCATGCCGTCGTCATCGTCATCATCGCCTTCATTCGCTAGCATCATCATAGTTACCGCCGTTGTCGACGCTATCCTGTGGCGCTCGGGGCCGTCTTGGGGGCTGATTGGAGGCCCCTGTGGGCTCTATGAACTTTGCCCGAATCGATCTGACGCCGAAAACCCTCGGAAGCAATCGCAGTGTTTCCCCTTACGCTTTTCAGCGCACTTGGCCTCTGAGGGCTTCGCTGGGGGCCTCCTCGGGCGGTCTCTTGGAGGCTTCCTGAGTCCTCTCGGGGGATCTTGAAGACTGTGAGGGCTCGTTGTGTCGTCTTTGTTTTACGGCGGTCTTTGGCTGTCTTGGAGCCGCCAGGAAGTCGATAATTGCTCTATTGGAGCTGTATAGTAGTCGTCTTGGGTGTTTCTGGGCTGTCTGAGTATGTCCGTGTGCGACCTGAAGCTGGAAAGCTCCGGAAGCAGCACACAGTGAGTTACTGTAAAATTCAATGGGTTTCGCTTTCTGGGGCCTCGCTGGAGGCTTCTTTGGGCGCATCTTGGAGGCTTATTGGAGCATCTTGGGAACATATCAGGAGAATCTCGGAGCTTTGGGAGGAATGTTGGGTTGTCTTTGGATGGCCATGAAGCGTCTTGCAGCCGCTTTGGGGCAAACCATGCGGTGCAACCTATGTGGTACAACTCCATTGGTCCTGCAAATATCCCACCCACCCACCAGCAACTGTTCTGGCAAAACACATTCAGCCACGACTGCAGTTCCCGACCACGGTTGCGCGCTTCCGCGCACAGCGACCAATTGGCTTAGCACAATTGACGCGGCTGCGATGGCGCCTATCGATGGTAACTTCCCAGCTCGTCTCAAAGGCCGCTCTAGCACTCGAGCGCTTCAGTGTAGAAGGGCGAACCGGGCGGGCGCGACTTAATAATGACGCCGAGCATGGCGGCAATGATGATGTTGATAGCGATGATGGTGGCGATGGAGACGATGACGACGGCAATGCCAATGACGGTGTCGATGTTGGTGAGGACGATGATGATGATGATGATGATGATGATGATGATGGCAGCAATAGTGACGATTGACGATGACGATGACGGCGGTGATGCGATGGCGCTGATGGGGGTGATGGAGAAGTGCGCCCGCAGAAATTCAAGGGATCTAGGAGAGCTCTTGTTGAACAGCACAGGTTTTCTCAGATGTTTGTGAGGAGCTCTATCTTGAAACGCTTCGACAGCAAATCGTGTCGGAAGGATTTCGGCACGCACACGTGGCGTCATGCGCATATGGCCCGCATGGTTGTTTTGATAAGGATTGGTGCACGGCGCGCGCGTGCGTGGTGAGATGCGAATGCGAAGTTTTGACGGAATTAATCAAAGCAGATGGTGTCCTTATGATTTCGTCCAGTGCGCGCGGGCCGAATGTTGAATATGTTTGCTGAAAGGCAGATGAGCGTTTAGTGTTATTACAACGCAATGCTTGCATAAGTGGTATGAATAGTCTGATTCCGACATGTGCGCGTTCGTGTTGGTTTTGTTGCATTGTGTTTGACAAAGGTCGTTTGGAACGATTGTTTGAAATAAACGACAGCGCGCGCATGGTAGCATCTGATAAGGCCGGCACGAGGGGCCCACACTGGCTCGCCGGGGATGGCACAGTCTCATATGGAAAGGAAATGAACGATGAGGCAGAACCATTTGTACATTGTATTATCCCAGGATGACCCGACAAGTCCGGGCTCGGGAGGGTGGCAAAGTGTATTCATCGCTTGAGAGGATAGCATGTCACGTAGTCCTGTATACGTCGTGCATGATACGGGGTCAAGCTACGTGGTGCAAGCAACTTGTGCATCCTGAAGCACGAACCAGCGCACGCGGCGGCCCACGGCGCTTCATTTTGGAAATGCCACCAGCACGTGGGGCGGCCACGAGGCGGCCACTGGCGGACGGAGCAGCCACGAGGCCGACACGAGGCGGCCACCAGGCGAAAGTTCAGAAATCCCCGTCGGCACCAAGCGGCGGCCACGGGAGGCCACCGGCCAACTTGCGCGCCCAAGTATAAAACCCTTGGCGCGAGGGTCATGTGAGGAAAAAGCTGGCCCAGGGGACGGATATCCGTTCTGTTCCTCCCCACCTTTCCTGCCGTCTCTTCTTTCAGGGCGCATAAGCTCAGTGCTCCCGAAATCTCATCGCATCTGAGCATCCGAGTCGTCGCTGGGAGAGCTGCCCCACAGGGCACATCCACGGCTCCTCGGTGGGCAGGCGCCCCGGCCGCTCTCGAAAACAAGATGCACGGATCGCAGCGGCCGATGCCCGACGGTGTGCACGGTCATCGGTGGCTTCCCAGCATCCCCCTCGATTCGGGGGCGGAAAAGAGGGGGGTGATGACTAGGGGGGGGGGGGGATTTCATGGCGCGGGCCATGATTTTTCCTCAGATTTCACGGCGCCTCTTCTTATTTCATTACGTCCCAGGCCCCCCCGCTGGGCCGCGCACATGCCGCCAGTCATGATTTGCACCCCCCCCTCTTGGACACCCCCCTCTTGGCCGCTCCCCCTCGATCGACTCCTTTGCTGCTTGGCTTAAGTCGGGCGTGTCCCCCGACAGGGGGATTTTCGACAAAAAATGAAAATGTTCAAAAAATATTCCAACATGGTCAAAAAAATACTCAAAAAATAGTCCCCGGATTAGTCTTTTAATATTTTTGAAAAATTGCCCTGTAGAGGGACAGGCCCGGCTTAATGCTTGGCAGAGGTGCGCCTGGGTCCCCAGGAGGGCGGGGGACGGAGGCCCCGCCAGGGAGCCAGGCAGGCGCGGCCGCCGGCGCTGCCCGAGCAAGTCCCGCGCCGGGCGGTCGAAGGGCCGCCGCGATGGAGGCGTCAGGGGCAGCGATACATCGGGGGCGGCCAAGATCGAAAGCTGGGCGAGGGCTGCTAAAACCGTGGGTGCTAAAACGGCCCTCCCGGAAGGAAAAAACAACTTCCCGGAATGAGGCGCGGCACGCGAAACACTCAACGGGCTTTTTCCCGGAAGGACGAAGACAGTTTTCCGGAGGTCTATTTTAGCAGCCACGGATTTAGCAACCTTTGCCCGGCTTCCGACAAGAGGGGGGTGATGACTAGGCCCTAGTCGCCGCCCCCCCTCCTGTCCCCAGGGGGGGGGGGGGATGACATGGCGGGGGCCATGTTATCTCCCCAGATTTCATGGCGGCCCTTCTTATTTCAGGACGTCCCTGGACCCCCCCCCGGGCTGCGCACGCGCCGCCAGCCATGATTTGCGCCCTCCTCCCCCCCCCCTCTTGGACGCCCCCGAATACAGTCAAGGCGCTGAAAGAAGGGCCGCTTCGGGCCGAGGAGGGGCTCGGGTCTTCCGGCCGTCCCTCAGATCCAGGTCGAAGAGCCTCTTCGTGGCCGAGGCTCGCCGCGGCCAGAAAAGCCCCCCCGTTCCTTGCTGTGCGGTCCTCGTGGCAGCACGAAGACCGCAGGGAGGGAATACAGTCGGGGCCCTGAAGAAGGAACCCTTTTCGTTGGGGAGGGGCTCCGCGTTCCTTAGGTGTTTCACAGTTTGCCTTGGGTTTTCCTTATGCTTTCGATAGGAAATCGAAGTTCAACGTATGGAAAAAAGGGGCC